GGGCCAAATATAATTATATCGTGGGCCAAATTTGGCCCCTGGGCCTGAGTTTGACATGTCTGATGTAAACAAAAAGCAATTCCGATAAAATATTTTGTGGATTTACCCTCAAGCGTTTTCGTATAAACAGGCCCAGAGAGGGGGATTGCCTTTGCACAGATCTGACCTGTAACTTGGTCTGGTTTAATCTCAAAAGGTTTAATGCCATACTGTGAATAAAGTGGCCACGGAGAAAAGCCTTTGACGGACCACAAAATAAATTACAGTTAAATAATCGTAATATAAAGTGTCACAATTAACAAATCTACAACAAGGTAAGGTGCAGGTTTTTATTAATTACATAATGAATTAGATTTTTTTGTGTTCAAGGCACTTTTTTTTAAGCAGTGAATCAATGAATGTAAAAATTTACACTTTACTTAAGTTTTAGATTTTAAATTAGGTTCACATCAGCAAGTAGACTCAGTTGGCGACATTCAAACTGGGAAAAAGTTAAAATAAAAACGTATCTGGTAGAGGTGAGCAGGTTAATAAAATGTCAGTGTTTTAAAAATATTAAAAATGTGAATATTGAGTATACAGTTTATAATAAAAATGTGTCAAAACAATTGTATTTCTCAATTTCTAACAATAATTTTCCAGTCGTTTCACATTTAGTTCACACCTACATTTCAACTTATGCTTATAAAATATTTAACTAAACAAAAGTGATAGAAATTTTCCATTGCGCTACCTGCTTTTGTCCAGTGGTCCGATGTTTATGTCAAACTCGGAAACAAACAAAAAGCCCGGTTTAAAGGTTCAGTTATTTAAAGAGAACAGGCTAATCCAGATGATCGGCAACAGTGACATGGACCAGTGTACAAGACCGACTGCATTTCTAAAACGTTAGATCATGAATTGTGCTCATAACTCACCCGCGCCGAGGAGAGACGCCAACCCAGGTCTCCAACGAGGAAAGTGACTCTGTAAGAACTAGAAAAATAAAGTGTAACAAAAGGACAAAACCTGATGACGACAATTTATAAGTGGATGATCTTTGTATGAAATATCTGTCATCTAAATCAGACCTGGGCATTGTTCAGCTCCAGGGCAACATACGGTCCTTTGGTTGAATCTGATCGACCCCTTTTAGGATGATTTGGAATTACAAAATAAACATATTTTATAATTTTAGCTCATGCATGGACTAAAGCTGCATTGCTTTTATTTTAGAGGTGTTTTTAACAACATTTTTAGTAAGGCAAGCTCACTTTTTCATTGCTTAGTCATAACATAAACTCTTACCAGTCTTACCAGCTTATCAAAACAATGATATTTACTTACTTGATATATATATGTGTTTTTAAAATAAATAAATACAGTTAATATTATGCAGAATTGAGTTAAGCATTTTGCCCCTCCACAATATTTTTGTTTCTCATATGGCCCCATGGAGAAAATAATTGCCCACCCCTGAGCTAAATATGTGTTCATTCAATGCCTCCGCAAAGACCAGTTTTCCTGCTTTAAAATCTGTTTAGTTCATGATTTGTATAGACTTGGTTTGGTTTTGTTATAGTCCTGGTTTAGGTCTGAGGGGTGTACAAAGTGAGATAGTTTAGAGTGCATTCACTTGTACTGTACATATGTGGCCCTGATTTGAACCCAGTGTAATTCTGACTCATTTTGGTCTTGTTCTAGTCCTGGTTTAGAGCTGGTCTAGTCCAGGTTTCATTCTTGGTTTAATCCCAGTTTGAATGTGGCGTTTTGTGCAACACCCTAATACAAAGGTGGCTTTCTTGTCACTAAAATAACACATGCAGCAGTGTTGGTGCAGGTTGAGAAGCTGAATTAGAAATTACATAACATCTTGACAAGTTTTTGCACGTATTGATCAGCACTAAAACTTCCCATTTTAGTCCCAGTTTGAATGTGCTGTGTGTGAATGTGCCTTTAATAGTAAATGGTCACATTTTTATATAGCGCTTTTTCACCTTCAAGGCACACAAAGCGCTTTACAACACCAGACTCATTTGCATACACTCGCTCACCAGTGTACGCAGACACTAGGGGCAAGGTGGGTTAAGTGTCTTGTTCAAGGACACAACGACGGCATTCATCTGTGGGAGCTGGAATCACACTGCCAACCTGTGGGTCAGTGGGTCTGACCACTCAACCAATCATGTTTTTGTTGAGAGTGGGATTCGAATCACCAACCTTCGGATCGGTGGACAAACGCTCTTACCAACTGAGCTAAAATCGTTAAAGGGACAGTCCGTAATTTTGGACATAGGGCATCATTTCCTAGTGAGTCAGAGTGTTGTGGAGACACTTTTTAAAATATTCCTCCAGTCCTTGTATTTGCAGAGGTCGCTGGTGCTAGACTAGTGCATGTCAATGGCCATAGTTATTCTGCCACTAAAAACAGTCTTACCCACTCCACAAAACACCCGAAACAAATCGATTACAACTCCAGACTGTCGATGTAAATGTCTGTGTCGATAGAATAATGTTTGAAATAAAACTAACCTTGCAACGCATGAATCGTCGCATGTTGAGGGACTATTTTCTCATATATCAGTCCGCCGCTGCCAAACTTTATCAGGAAGTACAACTCACTGCTTCTGCTCAGAGATAAATCCTTCAAATGCAAGGTTGGTTTTACTTTTAAATTTAATCGAAACAGACATTTACATGGACAGTCTGGTGTAATAATAGATTTGCTTTGGGTGTTTTGTGGAGTGGGTAAGACTGTTTTTAGTGGCAGGATAACTATGGCCATTGACATGAACTAGTCTAGCACCAGCGACCTCTGCAAATACAAGGACTGGATGGAATATTTTTAAAAAGTGTCTCCACACGTCTCCAACACTCTGGCTCACTAGGAAATGAGGCCCTATGTCCAAAATTCTGGACTGTCCCTTTAATAATGCCTAACGAATACTAATACTGTAGTCATTCTTCTCTCTTTCTATAGTGGCAGGCAACTTCTGTCAGTCTAGTTCTGGCTACAGAAGTGAGGTTGTCAATCTGTGTCATCGCCCCATCACTCACTCACATTAACATCAAACTGTCAACCTTGAATAAATGGTTGTCACTTAACCGTGCAATAGTTCAATATCATGAACAGCCTTATTGTCTAGCAGCAACTACATATTTTTTTAATGCGTAGATGTTAGGGATGTAACAATAATCGAAATATCGTGATATCGTATCGTCAAAGTTCTCACAATAATATCGTCTACCATCACAATATATCGAATTACAAGTCTTTTTGCTTAAATGAAGAGTTATGGTGCGGCAATAGCTAAAAAAAACAAACAAAGGGAACCGCATAAACCATGATCCTTTGCTCCATTTCAGTGCAGACTACATGAAGAAATAACAGTTCTAAGCACTTTTAAGTCTTAGTTCTTTGGGTTAAGTCTTGTCAAGGCATTTTAAGGTAAGTTTTATAAGCCTCCAAAAAATATCACAATACATTTCTATATTCTATTTGGACCTTACACTGACATCCTCACATCTGACCTTGTGCCTCTTGCCACAAATTTGCACAGTTTAGCAAAGAACCTTGGTGTTTTTATGGACTCTCTTAAACTTTGAGAAACAGATCTCAAATGTTGTTAAAAATGGCTTTTTTCAGCTCAGACAAATTGCCAAATAAAAAACAATCCCAACACACAATAACTTTGAAACAATCATACACGCTTTTGTAACAGATAGACTGGACTACTGTAATGCACCATACTCAGGCCTCCCACAATCCTCCCTAAATAGGTCACAGTTAGTCCAAAATGCTGCTCACCGGTTCCAAAAAGAGAGACCATATTCCACCCATCCTAGCCCAACTCCACTGGTGACCTGTTAAATACAGAATTGATTTTAAAATGTTATTATTTGTTTTTAAATCACTCGCGCCACAGTACATCACTGATCTTTTAACCCCCCACACAGCCTCCCGGTCTCTCAGGTCAAAACCCTCTCAACCTCCTGTCCGTCCCACCATCCCGCCTCAAAACCAGGGGAGGCCGAGTCGAGGAAGTCGGACTGCAGATGGCGCCGTCATCCTGCCTCCACCGGTAAGAAGACAGTTTTGTTTAAATCAGCTGACCAGACACGTCACAGCAACATCACGTGACCACTCTGAGGAAGACCGCTAGTGAGCAGTCAAAACTGTCAGATACGAAACTAAACTCTAGGTCTGAAAAAAGAACCCAATAACATAAAATATCAGAAGACCAAATGACTCTCACTGGACTTTCTCTGTTGTTGCCCCCAAGCTTTGGAATTCCCTCCCTTTTCATCTGAGATCTTGCTCCTCCCTACCTCACTTTAAAACCCTCCTAAAAACAAATTTTTTCAAGATGGCATTTAACAGCCCATGAGCTCTACTTTAAACTATAATCTTTGTGCATCAAGTAACTCGTTTATGTAATATTTTATTTATTTTATATTTGTGTTTGTGTTTCATGCCGTTTTAAATGTGTTTTAAATGTGTTTTAAATGTGCTGTATAGATAAAATTACTTGACTAAATATCGTACTGAGAGATTTGGCCATTGTTACGTTTTTAATCATAAGCCTCCCCTCCAGATCATGAGCTTTCCCATGATATTGCAATAAATATCGTCCCGTGAGGTTTGTATTGTATTGTGAGACTTGGATATAGTTACACCCCTAGTAGACGTGCACCTTCTGAAGAGAGCATTTAAAGAGGGGGTATTAAAATGTTAACACGACAAGAATGCCGTTACCCTTTACTGTTTTGACAACACAACACTGCTGACTGTAGGGAGTATTCAAATAGGGCCCGGGAGTGATTCCTCAAACCTGCGTGGATGACATAAGACCACTTGAGGCATGTTTTTGATGAGGGAACAAAGTTAGAACACGACAGAGAGCTCCAAAAACTCCATTTCGCATAATTCCCCTCTCTAAAAAAAAAAAATAAAAAAAAATAAAAAGGTACGGAGTCAACCTTTCCAGGAACCGATGAATAATAAAGACGACATTTGAATGTTTCGTAACAAGTGCAACATGGGTTTATTGTCAAACTGGTTATTAAGACATGAACTTGATTAATGCCATATGAAATCTCAAACTCCGCTGTAGTAAAGTGCAGATTCAAATCAAGTCGTCCTGGTAGTGCTCCTATAGGTTTCTCTGAACAGTTTTGTCAAATCAACGTTGCAAGATTAAACCTACAAAACCATGGAAAGCCCTTTTTTTGTACAACTCAAAACGTCTAAAACTAATGTGCAAAATAAAATAACTGACAAAGCCTTATTTTGAAGAGGAAATTTGTGCTAAAGTAGATACGCGGACAGCTGTAGTCTAGTCAGAAGTTGTTCTTTTTGTAAATGAAAAGTGAGCACGCGCAGCAAGTGTTCCGTAACCTCTCTCCGCCGACGTTTTGATCAAAATAAAACAAAAAAATGGCATTTAAAAGGGTCGGCCTTCGAGAGGTTACCTGCGTATTATTATAACAGTTAAGTGTGCATTGTGAGATCTCGAACGGAGCACCACTTTAACATTATTTTTTGTTTTTTTTAAACCCAAAACGTCATATTCAAAAGCTTGCATTCGACAAACTCACTCTCTGTGGCACTTAAAACACTTCGCATTCACACGGACTCATTCAGGACGCTGCAAAAAAAAGAAAAAAAAAAGAAAAACATCACGTCTGCGAGTTAAAAAAATGGCTTGAATTCACATTAATACGTTTGAGTAATCAGAACTAGATTTTTTTGAGATGGACGAACTAGAGATTTTTTAGTATCGTTTTTAAAGCTTCAATAAAATACTCAAATTTTTAGTAAAATATCTGTAAATTGAGTATAAATATTGCACTTAAAATATCAAAACGAATGATTAAAATAACGTTTTACTCAATGGACACATGATTTAGCTCGAATTAAGAAAATGTAACGAACCATGTCAGAAAAAAACTAGAAATAATTATCACAAACTAGACAAAATCATTTAAATTCCACCTTAAATGCATGTATTAAACCAAATTTTCAACCAATCTTAATATATCAGGTTGTTTATGTTAAAGTTTAAACTGTTAAAGAGCTTTTAAAGTGTTTCTGAATAAAGTTTGTGCACGATTAACATTTTAAATAAACTGAAAAGGTGATAATATATTAAAAGCTCAATATTTTTTGTGGGAGAGTAACCAATAAAATTTAAATAAGTCAAAATTCAAGTCATTTTAACTCGTGGACATTTTTTTTTTTTTTTTTTTTACAGTGTCTAAACATTTTTTGATGATAAAATGTGAGAAAATCGGCAGCGTCGATGTTGTTCGTGAGGTAAACACAAAAATGAAAATTGCACAGACAAAGTGCCGAGTACAACAGTCTTTTCAACAGCAGAGCCTGTGCATAGAAGGATAAAGCACTTACGGTGTTTGCAGACGACCCTTCGCATAAAGCTTTGTTTGTTCAGGTACAAATGAAACAATGAAACACGAACTGCAAAATATCACATCTGCGTAGAGTTAAAATTACTTGAAATTAATATCTTGATTTGAGTAGTTTTAATTACTTACGTTATTATACAAATTCTATGACAATTTTATCTAGTTTCATAAAGATAAATTAGTAAATAGATAAAGTTCAAGTTCAGTGTTTTAATTGAAAAAGAAAGCAACATTCTCAAATGATTTTTGACTAGAATCCGTGTATCATTCGTTCATTCATTTTTCAATATAAAACCAAAAATAAGAAAACGAAAAAAAAACTGTTTTCTTCATTTGTCTCCAAAATCATAATGAAAACCAGATAATGATTTGTTTTTTTAGTTTTCGATTTTGTGTTTAAATGAAGAATGGAAAAAACGGATCACGGCTGCTTCCCGTTTACGTGACTTCCGTGACTGTGATGCCGGAATTTTGCACTGCAATACGGACTGAACCATGACTGGTCCAGGTCCGGGATCAGACCGGAACCGGCCTGGGACTGAGACCGGGACTGAGACCGGGACTGAGACCGGGACTGAGACCGGGACTGAGACACGGCAGGACTGGAGCTCGAAGCTGAAGCTCGGACCCCGCGGAGGCTCGGAGTCCACTCTGGTCCCGGACCTAGATCAGTCCTGGTTCAGTCCGTATGCAGTGCAAACGTGAAATGGCCGTTATTCGTTTTTTCCATTCTTAATTTAAACACAAAATCAAAAACTGAAAAAACGAATTGTTATCAGTTTCTTCCTTTTGGTTTTGGAGATAAATAATGAAGAAAACGGTTGTTTATTAATTTTCTTATTTTTGGTTTTATATTGAAAAACAAATGAACGAATGATACACGGATTGACTAGTTTAGATTTAAGTTATTATATCAGTTCCATGACAATTCTAGCTGGTTTTTAGACAAGATAAACGGCTAACTGGGATAATAAATATTGTTTGTACATATATTTTTACAAGTACAATGTTTTTATCCCATTGTAAGTTAATTTAAATTGAGTCAGTATGTCTTTAAGCTGCTCAAAAAACGACTTAATAATGACTTAAAATATTTAAGTAGAAGTAACTTAACACATTTATGTTAATTTAACGAATATTGCTCATTTTGAAACTCAAGTTATTTGCTTTGAATCAACATTTATAATTAAAATTAACAAAGTAACGTTAATTTACGTCAACATTTCCCTAGATTGACATTTTTAGAGTGTGTTTCGTAGAAGTACGTGCCTAAACTAGTCAGCACTACTCAAATCAAGTTACATTATTCCAAAGTCAAGTCATTTCACCTCATTTTAGATTTTAATATTTTCCAGTGTACCCTCCCCCTCCCTTGGCATATATTCTGATTGCATGACCATGAAACCAACTGTGATTTGAAGAACGGGTCCACGACTGTTGGCAACAGCAATGGGACAATGTGAAAAACAAAACAAAATTAACCTGAATCCCAACGTTGCTAGAAAAGTCTTTGTTATAGAGAGAGACACAGGCAAAAGCTGGGTTTGGGGGGCTTGCATGGAGAAGTTCCCTCAAGTTTCATAATAAATAGCATTGTGGAATATGCAAAAAATAATTTCTAGACCAAAAATATGTAAACCTGTTTCTTGGTTCGTCCAGGTATTTATCAGACTGCTGCTGTCCATTTCGCAGACTTTTTTTGTAATCCATTCTGGTTGGAAAAACATCGCATAGACTCCGTTTGCTCGTTCTTCCTTAATACCTAGAGTTTTAATGTAATTCGTCCCAAGTATTATCTATGTAGTAACACAAATGCCTCCAGTTGTTCCGGGATGTTGCCTTTATAGTGGAGATTGTGCTTAACTATGACCCGAGCAGCGAGACACGCCAGAGTGGTGTGGTTGATAGGTTGGATCACGTTCCTCGCCAGTTCCTTTTCGTCCAGCAGGTCCAGCGCCGTCTGCTGGAAGGAGTTGGTACTGTCGAAATGAGAGCCGCTGGAGATGAGCAGGTTCATGATGTCCGGGTGGCCATTGGAGGCGGCGATGTGGAGGGGGCTGGAGGAAAGACACCATCATCAGTAAAAGGACATTTATATAGTCTTAGAGTATAGTTACTCTTGCCGTTTTAAGAAAATGTGATAATAATGACCACTGGAGCTGGGTTGCTTCAGCCTAAACCTGCAGATTAAGGACACAGACAAGTTTTTTCCTCATTCTTAGTATATGGACAAGATATGACAGCTCAAAACTTCCAGAAATCGCTCACTGAGCCGTAGAGGCTGCACTAGCACTGATTCATGACTGGCTGCAGGTGCTGGGGTTTAGGTAGTGTGGATTCAGATTAAGTCCGTTTAAGCTTAAACCAACTGGATTTCAGCACGGAAACTAGTAACGCAAATGAGACTCGTGAGACGCTCATTCTGCTTTCTGATTGAACGCACTAACAGAAATGCGGCTGAGTTTTTGTCAGCCTACTATATTACCAAACATTGTAAAGTCAGTCCTCTAAGTGTAATTTAAACTTCATAGTGGTTGCACTGCTCTATCTGAGGCTTTGTTACACTTTAATCTGAGCTTTACTTGAACACAATCTGGTCTCAAGAGCTGGTTTAGCTGAAGCTTCAACAGGTGAGCCGATGTGTGCTTGTTTAAACAAGTAGAATTAGTCAGAAATGAGCTACCGATGCCAACTCACTCTAAGTGAGAGGTCACTCACCCTTTTGTTGAAAAATCAAACCCATAAACAGGATCATGTTGTTTTTTCCTTGAAGCTGTTTTGGCAGTGTTTGCCAAAGTGTGCATTGTGTCACCATGGTAACATTCCACTAAAGAGTTGTGGTGCGTTCGTTGGTCCATCCAACTCAGAGGTCTGCCCCTTTTCCTCAGACAGCACAACTCGGAACTCGGAAGAACTCTGAGCAGACCAAGCAAGGATTCAGAGATAGAATCGAAGATGGCTGCCCCCAGTGTCACTTTTAAATATGAACTGTCTTCATTGTGTTTGGAGCTTTGGTGGTTTAAATGACAATTTCAGTCACTTGTGTTACTGCAACACCTTTCTGTGTCCGTGTCACTGCCTGTGGGTTTAGTCGTCTGTGTCAGCCATGTTTTTAGCCCATTTCCTGGTAGCTAAACACTTTCACGTCCACATTTTTCTCAGAGTTGAACACACAAACATAATAAAACCATTGAAGCACGGACATGACTTCATATCCGAGATGCAAGAGGGAAGCGGATGGATAAACAAGCGCAGCATTAGCCCCTCACCTGTTGTCGTCCTCGTCTCTGCTGTTGACATCGGCTCCACACTCCAGGAGGATGGAGGCCACGGTGAGCGAGGGGAACTTACACACGGGGTACCGACCAACACAGGTCGTGTTTCGGTCGACGGCGAGATGGAGCGGACTGTAGCCATTTTTCCCACAGGGCTGGAGCTTCAGGAACCTGGGAGAGAAGAGAAGAACACAAGCATTAGGGAAGGACAAGACACAACATGGGTCCAAGAGAATCAGACTTTGGCAAGAATAATAAATTGCGCAGTTTTGTTTAATTTTGGGATCACCATTTATTTTAAGAGCCCATATGATGCCATTTTCTTATCTCTGTTATGTTGTTTCCTAGTCAAAAGAACATACCTCAAGTAGTTTTTTTTTGTTTCATTCACATGTTTATCACACAAACCCTGCATATTTAGACTGAGTTGTTCTCTCAAACTGAAAACATTCTGTTCCTGCTCCACTGTATTTTAAACTCCATACACTTTCACTAGAATCACTGGGATAATTTCAGACCTGGAAATGCCAATCTGTACTGAACTAAAGATTTTTTAAAAAAAGTAGCTCTTGTCATGAAGAGGTAGATTTTAAGTTATCACAGGGTGGAACAGAGCATTTTGAGTTAGAGATGTAGAGAAACAATCCAGGATTACTCAAACAAGTAGGAAACAAAAGCATCTTCAGGTATGTTTGAGGAGGTAGCAACAATTATACTGTATTTTCTGGGCTATAGGGCGCGCTCTTAAGCCTCCAACCCCATCAAAAAACGACTGCGCGCCCCACAATCCAGAGCGCCCTATACACAAATCCACTCGGGTGTCCCAGCACGACTTCAGTAAACTACAAAGCCGCACCACCCACAGCACACGCAAACACACACGGAGCAGACAGCGACCGCGCAGAGAAAAACACCCACAGCCACACTCATCGACGAGGAACGGAATGGAGGAACGAATCGAAAAAGCGTGTGCAATGTGCCGCTTCTAGACACAACTGAACAACTGAGTCACTGCGAATACGCCGACAATCCAGCGGTCCCAGACAGCACCCTCCCTACACGCCACAACTGAACAAAGCCCAAAGTCACCGTGAACGCCACAAACAAAGTCCCACTGACCCATCCAACTGTTGTGTTTCGTTTAAAGTCTGGTGCTGTTTATCTGTGAAAAAATGTTCGAAAATAGACCATTCTATGACAGTGTGCCTTATAATTCAGAGCGCCTAATAGTGCAAAAAATACGGTAATTAGGGGTGTGCAAAAATATTGAGATATCAGTATATTGTATCGTTGAATGTGATGATACAGTATCGACATATCGCCATATATGGAGTATTTTTTGGTGTATTTTGCTAAATTATTTTGTTACAGTGCTACAGTTTTGTTTGTTTAGAGGAAGAAAACTTGTTTTTGTGACACATTTGACATTTTCCCTGTTTTGAGGATTAAAATTTTGTTAAACCACTTCTTGTGCAAAGTTCATATGAAACACAAAGACTTGTATCACAACCATGACTTAGCCTTTATTTTTTATTGAACCGTATTGAATCAAAACTGCACTGTATTGAGATATGTATCGTATCGTGGCCTATGAATCGCATCGGCAACTTCTTAATGATTCCGAGCCCTAATTATAATATGTCTTAAAGCTCACAAGAGTCAGTTTTGTGTAATATCAGACCTTTAACTCTCATTGTTGCACTGCTTTATGGAACTGCAGCTTCGCCAGAGAATCAAGTCAGCAAAAAATATCCCCTTTTTGTCTGAGCCAATTGTAAAATCATGGGGAAAAAAAAAGTCATAAGAGCATTTCGAATGTGTGCGCAAGCTTGCCACAATTTCATCTGGCAAGATCTGGTATGACGAGATCTTGTTTTAATTGCAAACTGATCTCCATTTTCTGCAGTAAGGTTACACTGGGTTAAACGGGAACAACATGCAAACACTACACACACACACACAAAAAAAAAAAAAAAAATCTAACTGAGGACAATCTTGCAGTGAGATCAAACTCCATTAGAGCTGCTACTTTGCCCCATGGATGAGCAAAAAATTCTGTTAACTTGATTATCTTGTGTTTTTAATGATCAACAAAGTGTAAAATTGTGAAACTGAAGATTATTATTATTATTATTAAACCATTTTTTTCTTAGCAGAATGATCATGCAGAGTGCAGGGGGCAGTGTAGTGAATATGCAGCAACACTTCAGGATGAAATGCATTCAGAGCGGTTAGCCCTACAGCAAGAGGCAATAAAATTAAATTAAAATCATAAACGCCCATACAGTCCAGCCCTACTCTGCACTCAGTCATTCCCACTTCTGTCGACTCTCTCCGGTTCACAAACGCAATTAAATGCCCGGCCAATTCAGGCTTTTACTTAAATTAATGTTGCTTTGTTTTTTGTTTTTTTTTCTTCTGTAAATAATTCTGCTGCCTCGTATCCTGTTCTATATGTTAATAGGGTTTGGCAAAATAAGTATTAAAAACTTCAGCCTAAACCCCTTTGGTCTGTAGAATAACCTTATAATTTCTATGTTAAATCACTGTAATATGATTAATGATTATGTTAATTGACCGAAGAAAAAAAAATATCATCAGCTGGAAAGTCCTCCTGAACTGTACCCTTAGGAAACAAATTTAGTTAACCTATATACTAGGGATGTAACAATAACCCGAAATATCATATCGTATCAAAGTTCTCACAATAATATCGTGGACCATCACAATATATCGAATTACAAGTCTCTTTGCTTAAATAAAGAGTTATGGTGCAGCAATAGTTAAAAAAAATGACAGAGAGAACTACATAGACCATGATCCTTTGCTCCATTTCAGTGCAGTTCTAAGCATTTTTAAGTCTTAGTTCTTTGTTTTAAGTCATGTTAAGGCATTTTAAGAGTTGCATATTATCAGTTTTGTTCGCAGCCTCCACAAAATATCGCAATAAATATTGTACTGTGAGATGTATATCGTGAAAATATCGTACAGAGAGATTTGGATATCGTTACATCCCTAATCGTAAGCCTCCCCACCATATTGTGAGCTTTCCCACGATATCGCAATAAATATCGTACCCTGAGGTTCATACCGTGATGATATCGTTACACCCCTATATACATATAGATAAAAATAAAATACGACATTCTGTGACCGCTGTAGCTTTTAAAAGCACTGCCAATGTGGGTAATATATACAGTCTTTGCCTCATTACAGCAGCAAAGAAGTGTGGGGGGAAAAATAATATACATGTACAATAAAACAGCTCAAAGACTTTTAGCGTCACAGCCATGATTTTTTATTGAACCATATTGAATCGATTTGAAATATATTGTATCTAGGGATGTAACAATAACCAAAATATCATGATATCGTATCGTCAAAAGTCTCGCAATAATATTGTGGGCTGTCACAATATATTGATTATCGGGATATTGCTTTGTTGGCAAAATCCCGATATTCAATATATCCCTCGCTCAACCATGATTATGAATTTAAAAAGTCAACGCCAAAGCAAAAGGCACCAGCTGTTTGCCAAGAAACACCTTCCACGTCACAGCAACATCACGTGACCACTCTGAGGAAGACCGCTAGTGAGCAGTCGAAACTATCAGGTATGACACAAAACTCTAAAGAAGAACCTAATGACATAACACCTTCCACTGCAAAGCGACCAACACCTGAAGCTGCTCTAAAGCCACAAGAACAAGAAAGTGTGAGCTCAGCCCGTTTGTCTTCTGTACCTCTCGCTTAACAAACAAGGTTTTGCTTTGATGGCGCTCCACATACAAAATGTTCGGTGCAAACTCAGGATGATTTCTTAGACAGTCAAATGTTTCCTTTTTCGTCGTTCCTGTGTATCAATCCTGCCCATCGCCTTCACCTTTCACTATTTTTTAATTCCGTTGGGAAGGGAAACAGTTTGAACAAAGGTTTGTAGACACACAGATCTGATTCACTTTTGCATTTATGGAGTTCGCAAAATTCCAAAGCCCATTTCTCGAGCCGTTTTCCGTTGTTAGGACATCCAACAACCACACAATTTACGATGTCCGAATCCCAAAACTAAAATATGACAATATCAGAAACAGAAACAAAAGTGATATGGTTCAAAAGACTAGAAAAGATCGGCTCTGACAATAGACGCATCTCACTGGGAAAACAAAAATGGCGGTTTGATGCTCACTTTTTTGGAAAATCCATCCCAGTATGCATTGAGCGATAACCGGAAGTTGGTAATACATGCATCACGAATTTCTATCAAATAAATACCATAAGTGAAAGCATTGATACATGTACCGAAAAAGTTGGATTGCTGCATGCCTACTAAATTCCCCAAGATTATTCTGCTTCCTGACGGGATAATCCACTTGAGAACCAATGAAAAAGGTAAAAACATGAGCAACTTTGTAAAAAATGTTTTGTAAATAGATCAACAGTTGTAATCAGTCATCATCCGTCGCCCAAACCCAAACTCCACTATGACAGCAGTGGAGTTTGTGCTTAAAACAGTACGAGGAAACAGTGTTTATATAAAAACAGATTAATTGTGTGAATCGTGAGTTTAATCTGCCGCTTTACAAATACCAAGAAATACCAAATGAGCCCATTCACTCACTGCTTTCCTCCTGCTGTTGCCCCAAATAAATCTTCATAATCTAAATAAAACTGACATCCTTCTCTCTTTAACTGAAGTCTATGTTTTCAATGGAGAAAAACAGAACGGAAAATAGAGATTAATCAGTTTGGGTTTTTTTTTTATATTGCCCATTGATACAAAAATACCATTCAACTTTAAAAAAAAAACGTCCAGACTAGAGCCGTTTTTGACTACACATCTCTACCATCTATACAAAATGACTAGGAAACGATGTATTTATATAAAAACGGATTAAACTTGTGAATTATGATCTTAAATCTGCCTTATTACATACAGTACAAACACTAAAATATCTTCAGAGAACACACCCACTCATTCAGAAACTTCTTTCTGCTGTTTTGCTGCAGAAATCCTCATAATCTAAATGACGAATACAAATTTTGGTCGACTAAGGCATGGGCCTGCAGCGATTACTCATTTTTGAAGCATGGTAAATTGCTACCGAAAAATACTGGGATAAACGTTAGTAGGAAAATCCCAGAAAACCAGTTTTTAAATAGACTATCATTAAAAAGGTGTGAGCTGTAACAAGTAAATAGCAGCATGAACCAATCATAATAATAATTAGACACAGAAGTTATTCATATTCTAGTCTGATTCATCAACCGGTTTCATTTCGTGGAAACCGTCCGACCTCGCAGCATTAGGATTCGTTTGCTCGATATAGGTGGGTACTTTTTTATTTAACCAATCACTGCTGTTTGGTTGAGGGTTCCAGGGTTTATGCAAAATATCTAGAGTATTCCAATTCCTGACCTAGTTGCTGGAGAGAAATGAAACAGTGTGGTATAGGATTTTGACCCTCCGGTGAGGTGACCCTGGGGTCAACATACCATATCGTAATTTGACACTGGGGTCAGAATCCTATTATGGTTTGTTGACCCCCCTATAGAATATTGACCCCCACATGAAAATCTATATTTTATTAATAAAGAACTTGAATTCTATAGACAAACTTTTAATATTAATACTATATCTTCAAATTAACACATATTGACATATTTAAAAGTGTTTTTTTGAAGAAATCTGATGCATTTTTTATGCAATTACTGAATCTGAATGATACCCATACATTCATTTCTGATCTGAATTATGTGAAGAATCCCACAGTCGTCCAGGTAGAATCCACGGCGAGGAGAAAATTCAGTTTGTCGACTGGACAAAAGTTTGTTTGAAGATGTTTCGCAGCTCATCCAAGCTGCTTCTTCAGTTCCGGTCAGATCAGAAATTGTAATGTAGTGTAGTGCTGTAACCTTGTGATTAGGGCTGGGTATCATTAAGAAGTTGCCGATACGATACACACCTCGACACATAGGCCATGATACAATACATATCTCGATACAGTGCACTTTTGGTTTGATACGATATATTTCAAATCGATTTGATATTGTTCAATAAAAAAAATGACAACATGACGGATGTGATACTAAAAGCCTTTGTTAAACCACTTCTTGTGCAAAATGAATATGACACACAAACATTTTAATAATCAAAACTGTGAAAATGTCAAATTTGGTGCAAAAATGAGTTTCCTTCCTCTAAAACAACAAAACTGTAGCACTGTAACATAATAATTTAGTAAAATATAGCATAAAATCCCCTGGGCGATATATTAATACAGCAGCCCACGATATCAATACTGTATCATCACATTAAACGATACGATATATCAATATTTCTGCACACCCCTACATGAGATAGGTTTAATCTATACTGCGGAACATTCTAAACAAGCAATAACATTTCCATAATCTACTAAATGCCCAAAACACCATAAAGTCTTTGTTTGAACCCACCTGTAAATGGTCTCCTTCTTGTAGTGGTCCTGCTCGGTGCTGCAGGGCACTTTCTCCAGGAGGCAGATGAGGTGCAGGATGATTGACAGGGCTTTTGTGAGCTGAGCGGGCTCAGGTGGGACCGGTCCAGTCTGCTTTACCGCTCTCTCGATCTCCAGCACGCTTTTACTCAAAATCCCCATAAGATCCTCGAACGACACAGACGTACCCAGCAGCCCCTTGGCCCTGTCCTGGAGCATGAATGAGAAAAGCTCCGCGAACGACAGTAAACTGGAGGCGGTCATCGGGCTCAGGGGGTCTAAGTTGGTTTGTTGCATGTCCAGAGCGTATTTCCACAGGTTTATGCAGCGTTCAAAGTTCCCAGAGTCAGCGTAAACGGCTCCCCTGTATCTGATGTAGTACGAGGTGTCGGGATGTTGTGGGCCCAGGATTCTCTCACGGATGAGCAGCGCCTGCATCCTCATCTCGTCTGGGTCAGAGATGAGACCGTCCAGCTCCTCGCCGTTTGTTACCTTCAGATTACACAAGATAAAACAGGAGCACATGGGTTAATGGTAAAGCTCAGTATTGTGGGCTACTGTATTGATATATTGCCAAGAGTATTTTTTGGTATATTTTACTACATTATTTTATTACAGAGCTACAGTTTTGTTGCTTGTTTAGAGGAGGGAAACTCGTTTATGTGACACATTTGACATTTTCACTGTTTGATGAGTAAAACGGGTGTGAACTTTGCACAAGAAGTGGTTTAACACACCTGTATAAGCCTAAGTATCACAGCCATGATTTAGACTTTATTTTTTATTGAACCGTATCGAATTGATTTGAAATATATCGTATTTGAATCGTATCGAAACGTAACCTAACCTGTATCGAGGTATGTATCGGCAATTTCTGAATGATACCCAGCCCTAGTAATAAAGCCAAGAATATTTGTCTTGTTTCAGTACTGATATATTGTAAAAGCAGCTTAGGGTCAAAATGAGACCACTCTCTGGGGTCTGCAACTAATTATAAAGCATTTCATCGTCTGAGGAGGAGGAAATAAGCCCGGGTCATTTCATGTCAAATCTCCAAAATGTCCCCACTCGACCATCTCAGATTTGACATTAAAAATTCTCTGAGGTTCAAGCACTTTCCAATAGATAAAGTTCGAAATTTTAGCTCCCAACTCCTTATAGTTTTGTCAGTAAAAAATATTTTGTCAACTCCCCCCTGACCTGTTTTGAGCAGAGTTTTCAGAGGAGCCACTTTCAGATTGCTGTATCTAAAAAAACTATTTAAAAAGGTCCTTCAAATTTTCAAGGGTTAAAATCTGGCAAACGTACTTGTAGAATCTGATTTATCACACATTTCTGGGGGCTTGGATTTGCTTGAAAATTTTACACTTCAAATATGAGCGCATCTTTGAAGGACTGTGGAAAGTGCAATTTCAGTTTGACATTGAACATACACCTTCCCACACACACTGTACTTTGTATTTTAAAACTGTCCCTCTGTGATGAACGCTCTAGAATATAAGTGTTAAAAATGGAAAAAAAATTTGGTGCCATCTTATACCATGTTATACCAAAAAACAATTACAGCACCCACCAACATAAAATGGACTGTTTTAGAAAGACTAGATGTCTGTTTTTAACATATCCAACATTTGTGATGCTGTTCTGCCTTATTTTTGCAAATTAATTTTTGAAAATGTGGTGTCCGCATTTGGGGCTTTTCTTATTGGAAAGTGTGTGAACCTCCTAGAATTTTTTCAGTCAAATCTGAGATGGTGACTTGGCTGGCACGCTGTTTGCATGCTAGTTGTTAACATTACAGTGATGACAAACTTCTCCTGCCTCTGAAAGTTGTCAAACTTGCACATAAACTCAACGCTGTGAATAATTAGGATGCTCTAAATGCTTAAGATGAGTGAAGAATAACTTTGGACTGTTTAAAAACAAACTGTTTCACATTTTTTAAATAGAGTAGTAGAGTAGAGTAATAGACGTAGTAGAAGTAGTAGTGTAGAGTGAAAGTGAGCCTTTTTTCTTACACACACTGGCTCACATGGTTTCTGTTTATTGATGACACCACTACCAATCAGCAACGATATGAGTCATTTCCAAGTCAGATTTGCCATGAGTTGTCAGAAAATAACCCAGACTCTTACAGACTTACATACATACACACATTCAAGAACACTTGTTAAAAAGGTTTAAATCAGAGTTAGATTGGTTTCCAAGAACATGTGTATGAAGTGTGTTAAAAAACAACAACTCTCCCTCACCTCTCTGGCGTAATCGTAGGCCATGATGAGCTGCTTTGGGTCGGGCTTGTGGACCACGTGGTTGCTGTCCATGTACCGGAGGTCCATGGCTCTTTTCCAGTATTTTAACGCTCCAAGTAAATCCCTCTTTTTGTCCACAAAGGTAGCACCAAGGAGCTCAAGGGCATCTATTCGTTCCTTATGACTGGTCTGCAATAGAAGAAGGAAAAGCATGACCAGTCGATACACTATAACACATTTAAACTGGTCCACGGGTCTAAAATCAATAGGAGGAGGCGATAAAACGCAGGAGTCTGATATGGATTTCTGAGCAGGTATGATCCAATATTTGTCTTGCTGTTGACCAATATTTACTGTACATTTTAAAATCCAAAGCCCACAAATTTATGTTAAAAGGTCCAGTATTTAACCTTTTCATGGGGACACGATTTTTTTTTTTTTTTTTTTTGCCATACTGAGGAATATTATTGCCAAAGGAACAACATTTCCACAGAAACAAGAAAGAGGCTGTCCTCCAGGCCAAAAAGAGTCAGACTTGTGGAGATACAAACATGGGGCAGGTTGAAAAAAAAAGAAAAAAAAGACAGGTACAGCATAAATATATTTTGTACATTTTTTGTCACTTTGTTTTTATTGGATATGGTCAATTTATAAGCATAAAAACAAAGGCTAAGGAAAGAAAAACAGGACACTTACTTTTGTGTAATGTCCATTTTTTCCATTTCACCTCAGTCCGAGTAATTTTTTCCATTAGATTGACATCTTGATTGCAAATGTCAATTGGTGCCCCAATTCCTAGTTGTTTTTTTGGCAGCTATTGACATCACTTTGAACAGACATACATCGCTTTGGGGAACAGTGTCTTTTATATTTTTATTACAAGGGACTCAAATTTGTATCTCGGGAGCTGCTAGTAGCTTTCAACAACCTTACAAGTAACTCACCAAGGGATTTTTTAAATTAAATTTATTGAACTGAATAACTCGAAATAAATGTGTTATTTGGAACTTTATGCACTAATAAATGGATAATGGTTTAATGTTTTATAGGTATCCAAGTATACAACATGTAAGGTTTGGGCCTGTTTATACAAGAACGCTTGAGGGTAAAAACGACAAAATATTTTATCAGAAGTGCCTTTCGTTTAGACGGTGATGGGGTTTTTGGGGCCTAAAAATGCTCAAATCTGAAACCACCCTCGAGGGTGGAAAAGTTAAATACACGCCGCCATAGTGTTTCCATCTACACTGCCCAAGACGCAAAACTCTGGTCAGATCTGCTCACGTCACGTACGCGTTTACGTCACATACATACAGTACACATGGCATGCATAACCAATCAAATTCCACACACTTTTGCGTCACCGTATGGATGCAGATTTCCTACCAAAAACGCTCACTAAACGTGGAATAAAAAGTGAAGACGCAATGCCACTTTTGCGTCATCATATGAACGCAGCCTAATATCGACTCAACTTCTTGTGACTAAAAGGGAGCTCACCAGATGCAAAAGGTTGGAGACCCCTGTTTTATTACAAATTTAATTTTGACTTGTACATTTCCATTTATATAATTATGTCTTATTTAACACCTGTCTCTTGCTCTTTTTTGCTACTTATTTAGAATTTACTATTACCATTTATATTTTGCTCTTTGTTATTACATTATATTGTGATGTGTGAGCTACTGTGTCCAAATAATTTCCCTTGTGGATCAATAAAGTTTGTCTAAGGTTATGTTTACACTGAAATGAACCACCGTATCGGAAACGATTTAAGTCCAGACACGTCATTTCTGTGTCCGTTCCCTATCCACAAAGTAATGTGAAACTGCCTGAAACACCAGTCATGTGACCTGGCTGGAGTCACGTGGTCACAATGTCACGTGGGCAGTAAAAACAAGAAAGTGGAGCACCGTGTCTGAAGTTGAGGCGGCTGATTTTGAGCTGAGGAAGATGGCAAGCGTGAAAGTAGTAAGTAGTTCTAGCTGTGCCGTTTCCCATTTGTCTGTGGTTTGTTTAAACCATTTTCCGCAATAGCATCACATGACCGATGTCACAAACCCTGTGAATCAGGAAGGCACAAGTCACAGTGACGTGGTTCAATAAGGACGCAACTAAAGCTCCTACGTCAGTGTATCAATGTTTTCAGGCGTCCACACAGTGCCGGATCAGATCTATATACTCAGATGAAATCGTGGGAGCTGGCGACACCAGACTGTTCCGTTTCCTGACTCGTTTTCCATCAGATTAGTGTAAACAAACACTGCATCCACAACGAAAACGACTCAGATTTGTACTAGTGTGGACGGGGCCCAAGTCTGAAAAGCTGTATAGATGGACCAGTTCAGGCGACAAAGGGACAGAAGATCCCAGCATATCACAAACCATTTCCCAAACACAGTAATATTTGAACATTTCCAAAATATAAGAGAATGGTCCACATTGATTTATCTGCATTTATGTGAAAAACAAATCTAATGCATCTTTAAACGTTTACTCTTTAGTTTAGGTGTAATAAAAAAATCGAATTAGGTTCTTCCAGGCAAACTCCCTCCATGTTCGAGAGCAAGTGGTGTTTTTCCCAATTCCCCTTCACCGTAATGTATTTTGTACATCATCATTACATACGGAGTTACATATATTTAAACTCGTATACTTGTATTGACCTGTTGGTGCGTGGTCAGGTAGTCAACGATGTTGGTGTGTCCGGTGACGCTGGCGGACAGAAGAGGAGTCATCCCGTATCCGTCCTGCTCCATCGACGCTCCGAACCTGAGCAGCATCCGCATGATCTCCAGACTGCCCGACTCCGCACAGTCATGGAGCGCCGTGTTTCCTGTGGACAGAAGGACGAAGCAGGGACACAGTGTTTATTGAGAGTGAGGACATGTTTTTGCAGAGAAGAGTGGTTCAACGGAGAAAAGGTTTCATCGGTGGTCATCTGAATCTATCATTCGTTCATTCATTCGTTTTTCAAAATAAAAGATAAATAAGAAATCGAAAAAACAACTATTTTCTTCATTATTTGTTTCCAGAACCAAATGAAAAAAATGGATGATTGTTCGTTTTTCAGTTTTCGATTTTGTGTTTAAATGAATAATGGAAGAAACGGACAACAGTCGTTTCCCGTTTCCGTACCTTAAACTGCAATGCCCTTCTGAACGAGGTCTGAACCAGGTCTGAACCAAGACTAAAACCAGTCTGAATCAGGATTAAAAGAGGATTAAAAGAGGACTAAAAGAGGACTGAACAAGTCCCCGGCCTCAAGTCCCCGGCCTCAAGTCCCCGGCCTCAAGTCCCCGGCCTCAAGTCCCGGCCTCAAGTCCCCGGCCTCAAGTCCCGGCCTCAAGTCCCCGGCCTCAAGTCCCCGGCCTCAAGTCCGTATGCGGCACTAAAGTCCAGATCGCAGTTTAAGTCACGGAAACGGGAAACGACTGTTATCCGTTTTTTCCCATTTTTCATATAAACACAAAATCAAAAATAAATAAATAATAATAATCGTTATCCACTTTTTCATTTTGCTTTTGGAGACAAATAATGAAGAAAATAGATGTTTATTCTTTCTTATTTTTGGTTTTATTTTGAAAAATGAATGAACGCATGATAGACTGATTCATCTGGACTCCGTTTTTGAGATTACTGATAATTACAATATCAAGTGTAATGTCAATAATTAAAACTATACCCTTGTTTCTTTATTTTTTTTTTTTACAGTTGTTTCTTTTTAAATAAAGTGGTATTTCTGCCCATTTACAGTTCATTTTCTGATCCATTCAAATTTTGTGCAGTATTTGAACCTCAACAAAGACATTTACAGGTACATTCTGAAAAAAAAAAAAGAAAAAAAGAAAGAAAGCTGAAAAATACAAACACGTCAGTTCCCCTTTTAGGCTAAATATATTTTTATTTCCTGTACTTCATAAAACTTCCTTCCAGTGAATCCAGCGTGTCGTTTTCCTGCACAAATGTTTTTTAATAGGTGTGATGAGATGACACATCAGGTGGATTAACCAAACAGGTTTCATGTTTCTTGCGTTTTCTTACTCATCTCTACACATTCAAGTTTTATCCAGAGTGTTCCATTAAACTGCAAAGGTTTTATTTTTATGTGACTAGATGAGGGACAGTGGTTGGAAATGACCCAAATTGAGCATTGCTGCCAGTAGGGGTGGGCGATATTAACAAAAATGAACATTGCAGTATTTTTTTACATTCTTAAAAGAAGATATTTCAACAATATAAAGAAAAATGTGAAAAAAATGTGTCTGGAAATGTCTTGGTTGAGGTTCAAGTATCGTAAATATACCATAGAATTAAACAGAAAAGCACAGAAAAATCACTTTATACCCTTGTTTGGGATGTTTCTGTTCCTTTTTGGAGGGACTTTTAATAGTTTTAAATTACTCGATAAAGTTATTTTGCACATCTACAGAACAATCTGACACATCTTCCACTTCTAGTTGGGAATTTTGATGGATCGGACATCTGTTCCAATTTCAATCAATCTCGTTTCAGTCTATAAATTGGTGTAATAATACGATTTATTGATCAAAATTGGCCCAAAATATCTCCTAATATTGAACTTGTGTTTTAATCATGTCAAGTAACTGCAGAACATCTTTGAAAATATACATACTAAATTGACTTACCGTTCAATACATGACAGACTGAACAAGAATTTTAGGAGGTCAGTATTTATCATGGCTACTGTTTCTTGTACTAATGGGGAACTTTGTATTTTTTTTCCTGAAGATTTGAGTTGTAAAACTTTGAATAAAACTTCTATGACTCATTAAGTGTTTCATTTAGCAATACTGCACATGTAGAAATATTTTAGGGAAGTCTCGTCAGTGGCATGATTGATTCAGTGTTATCATTTATGGTCTATATTTTCCTCACCAATAACATACTTCAAAATATGTTATCGTGACAGGCCTAGTTAATAATTAGTCGTTTAAGGAAATAAATAATATTAGTCAGTCTCTGCCCTGGTATCTGTTGATATCGGGAATAGGAAGACACTTGAAGCCACAGGATTACTCGTTCATAAAATGCTCGTTCATAAAAGTAGAGGGGAAAGTAACTAATGGGGAGTATGTGTCTTCAGTCACACAGCCATGTCTGTAATGACTCAACAGAATAACATGATCGACTGGTTTCACAATCACACTTGAAACTGTAATGTCTGCATGGGTGTGTCGACAGGCTTTAGGCTCTCCCTTTTATTTGTAGCAAAACCCAAAACAATACAGCTCCAATGCCTCTTTTATGTCGGAACTGGAGACTGACTCAAAGAAAACGTCAACAATGTCCCTGGGATACCCCTTACAACATTTACACAGCTTAAAAGGTTTAAAAAAAAAAAAAAAAAAAAAAAAGAAGAGATCCTATATTGCGCAGAATTTTGTTTACTCGTCAAAAACAGACCTGGAGTTGTGTTTTGTTTCATTCACACAAGTTTGAGTAATCCTTTATTATTAGTCTGTCTACATCTCTAAAGCTCAAAACGCTCTGTTCCACCTTGTGATGTCATGAAGGACTAGTCCAAGTTAACACCTACCTTTTATCTTTTGTTCTGCAGAAGTTGGAAATACTAATTATCCAAATTATTCTAAAGAAGGTATGAAGCTTTAAAACACAGTGAAGCACTTATTGTATTACCACGTGACATCACAAGGCGGAACAAGACGTTGGACTGAATCTGACCATAAAGACTTAGTCCATTAGTTGAACTACAACAGCTGATCATCTGATAAACAAATCTCTCTCACATAAAATTACAGTCACAAGCCAGTCAGCATTAGACAACAGTTTCTCAGTTACTCACTTGCTCGTATTAATCAGAGGCTCTTGAAAATGTGCTGCTTAAAGTTTCGAGCTTTCAGAGCAGCTTTAAACTTGTGTCTGTGTTTGCTATGGTGTGCATCGTTAGGGTGACCAGAAATTCAAAATTAAAAACTGGGACATCCCTGTTTTGTTTTTTTTTGGTGGTTGGCAACGACAAAACTGTGAAACGAGTGTGTAATTAAGGAAAATTGTTATGCAGAGACAGTTCATGACTAACGTGTGAGTGAGCATAGTCACATTTTCTTTGCGTTTTGGTTGTTTTTCAGCAGATTTCTTGTATTTTACCTAAACAAATTACAATTTATGCCTCTTTTACTGTTGAGAGGTATCAAATTGGTCAGAAATAGGGACACCTGGGACATTTCTTGTATAAAACTGGGACAAATCAGTGGTTTTGGATAAATCTGCTGGGACAGGGGACACAGGGTTCAAAATGGGACCGTCCCGGGTAAATAGGAAATAGGGACGTGCTATGCAACAAATGCAGCACTACATATGGACTCCATGCAAAAATAGAGACATCTGAGTCACTTCTTGTGTAAAACTGGGACAAATCACTGGTTTTTGATAAATCTGATGGGACAGGGGACATAGGGCTCGAAAATGGGACTGTCCCGGGTAAATACAGACATGTGGTCAGCCTATGCAACAAAACACAGCACTATGTATGGACTCCACTCAAAAATAAGGAGACCTGGGACATTACCTAAACAAATTACAATTTATGCCACTCTTTTACTGTTGGGAAGGATCAAATTAGTCAGAAATAGGGACATCTGAGACATTTCTTGTATAAAACTGGGACAAATCGTTGGTTTTGGATAAATCTGATGGGAACAGGGGACACGGGCTGAAAACTGGGATGTGTGGTCACCCTAAGCAACAAACACAGCATTATGGTTGGACTCCACTCAAAAATAGAGACACCTGAGTCATTTCTTGTATAAAACTGGGACAAATCACTGGTTTTGGATCAATCTAATGGGACAGGGGACATAGGGCTCAAAACTGGGACTGTCCCAGGTAAATACGCACGTGCGGTCACCCTTATGCAACAAACACAGCACTATGTATGGACTCCACTAAGAAAAAAGGACACCTGGGACATTACCTAAAAAAAAATTACAATTTGTGCCATTCTTTTACTCTTGGGAAGGATCAGATTGGTCAGAAATAGGGACACCTGGGACATTTCTTGAGTAAAACTGGGACAAATCGCTGGTTTTGGATAAATCTGATGGGGACAGGGGACACAGGGCTCAAAACTGGGACTGTCCCGGGTAAATACGGACGTGTGGTCACCCTATGCAACAAAGCATAGCATTATGCATGGACTACACTCAAAAATGGAGATACCTGAGACATTTCTTGTATAAAACTGGGACAAATCACCAGTGTTGGATAAATCTGATGGGACAGGGGATACTGGGCTCAAAACTGGGATGTGTGGTCACCCTAAGCAACAAATACAGCATTATGGTTGGACTCCACTCAAAAATAGAGACACCTGAGTATTTCTTGTATAAAACTGGGACAAATCACTGGTTTTGGATAAGTCTAATGGGACAGAGGACAGAGGCTCAAAACTGGGACGTGTGGTCACCCTTTGCAACAAACACAGCACAATGTATGCACTCCACTCACCTTTGACACTCTTTCGGTTCACATCTGCCCCTTTCTCCAACAGGTACTGGGCTATCTCTTTGTGCCCCTTGTAACAGGAAATCATCAGACACGTGTGCCCGTGCCTGTTGGCCACCTCCAGGTCAGCCTTGTGCTCCACCAGGTATTTCACTATGTCCAGGTGCCCGTCGAAGCAGGCTGCCCTCAGGGGGGTAGAGTTTGTGAGGGTGGTGCTGTTGACAGAAGCCCCGTGGCCCAGGAGGGACTGCACCACCTTGAGATGCCCGGCGGCGGAGGCGGCCCACAGAGGCGGCGCCCCCTCGATGGTCTCCCCGTCAAAGTTCACGGAGCCCCCCACCTCCACCGGGGCGCAGCAGCACTCCAGCAGGTACTCCACCAGCTCCAGGTGTCCGTATCTGGCCGCCATCAGCAGCGGAGTGGCCCCGTTGGTTTTCTCGCCCATGAGTTTGGTGACTTCGTGCCCATCTTTGTTTTCTAAGAGTTTCTGGAGCAGCCGTAGCTTCCCGTCTCTGGCCGCATTGAACACTGCAGTCTTTAGATCCATCTCTGAGCCTCGTCGCCCACGTTTAGATCAAAAAACCTCCAGGGATGTCCATATATATATAAAAAAAGAAAACAAAAAGCCAAGCAGCGGAACCCCCCCTTTGTTTACAGTGAGGCTACGAAGCTAACGCACTACTCCGCTCGGACTAAAGGTCGTGGCTTTTTTAGATTTGTTGTTTTAAGTGCTGTGTTAATGTTTAACCCCGTTCATAACTCTGAAATTTAAGAGGAGCCTTTGCCTTTTGTCCTGATGTGATGTAGCAGCTCGGTGGCTAATCAACTTCCTTGATCCTTGAAGCTAAAACCAACTTTTCTTTTTTTTTTTTTTTTGAAGCTAACCCACTAGCTTCACGTAGCTTTACTACTACTCCACTCGTAAACAATAAACACGCTGCGATTGTTCTTGCTCACAAACTGTCTGGGTTCGTGCCACAGCTTCAAGACATCGTTTTGATCGCTTTCATTGTTATTATTATTATTTTTTTTTACCCACAAAAGAAAGAGTAATCCACCTCCTGCGCTGTTGTTAGCCTGTTAGCTCCGCCTGGGAAGCGAAACTCCCGTCACTTTTTGGACAAAATCCCGTCCAGATCTCTCCGAGGCTCGTTTTTACACACGGCCAAGACGAAAACCGAAAATATCAGCCCCCAAAAAGCGCAGAGTCCGTCCACGTATCGGCCCAGGAAGCGCACACACAGACGCGGGTACGGCAGAGAGGGACCGTCCGCCCACGGCTTCTGGAGGATCACGACTCGGGTTCTGTCACGGCTCGGCCCGGCGCAGTCTTTTCTCTCTCCGAGCAGCTGATTGACGGGCGCGCGACCAATCACAAAACACACAAGATTTTCACCGTAAAACTCATTAAAATACTCACAAATACCCTTTAGTTGCTTTCCATATCTTGAACAACAAATCTTACTAAACTAAAAAAATAATTAATTAATTAATAAAAAAAAAATATATATTATTGGGTACTATATGCGTGTGTATGTTGTGACCAGAATTTCAAAATAAAACAAAAAACTGTGACATTCTTGGACATTTTTAGTGGTTACTAATAATAAACGAGTGCATAATTAAGCAAAATTGTTCTGCAGAGACTATTCATGACTAACATCTGAGTCAATACAGTCACATTTTCTTTGTTTTTGTAATTTTTAAGCAGTTTTTTTGTATTTTATCTAAACCAGGCATGTCCAAACTACGGGCCGTGGGCCTAATGCGGCCCTCAGACAAATTTTCCTTGGCTCTCGGGTTTCCAGATGATTAAAAATTAACTTTTTACTGCAGGTTTTTTGAAAATCTACTTTGACAATGCTGATATTGAATATTTAGTGTGTGGTTTTGAGGATCTTAGCGTGAATAAAGACTGATGGCTCATTCTAACGTGTTAAACATGCACATATTTCAGTTATTCAGCCCTCGATCAGCCCTCTGCTTGGTCTGTGTTTAGATATGTGGCCCTTGATGAAAAATGTTTGGACACCTCTAACATAAACAAATTACAATTCATGTCTCTCTTTACTGCTGGTAGGGATCAAAGTGGTCAAAACTTGGGACATTTGTTGTATAAAATTAGGACAAATCAATGGTTTTGGATAAATCTGCTGGGACAGGGAACACAGGGCTCAAAACTGGGACTGTCCTGGGTCAATGGGGACGTCTGGTCACCCTAATATATATATATGTACATGGATGATGTGATACGTATATATTTATATATATGATGGGGTATATATGTTTATATATGTAGGGCATGTACAGTATGCAGGTGTTATTTTGTACAGTATGTGTGTATGTATGTATGTATGGATACATGTGTGTATATATATATTATAAGATTCATTTTTTTCCTTGTATTTATTTATTTACTCTTTATTTAAATTTCCCTTTTTCCTATATTTATTAATTTTATTTACCTCTTACGTTATCTGTATTACTGTATTATTATTGCTATTTTTATTATTATTTATTTTTTTTTTTATTTTTCTTTTCTCTGGAGACAATGGGGGAGGGTAATGGGAGGAGGGTTTGGGGGAGGGGAATGGTCATATTGCAATACTGCTAATTGTTTTATTCTTTCTGTGACATCTGCTTTATGTGCACAAAGTAATTTACAAAAATCCACATGTAAACGTATACTTGCAATTTTGTGTAGGTCAGTGCATACAGTTTTCTTGTAATTATAATTTTAGAAAAAGAAAGAAAAGAAAATTCAAATATGTCAACTGGACAAAAGTTTGAAGAGAAAGACATAATAAAATTACTTCACAAGTTTATTTAATCACATATTCAGTGGAATTTCCATAATTAGTCATGCAAAGATGGTAATTTAAAACAGTTAAGTGGAATCATTACTAATAATATTCAAATAACAGTTGTCTGATAGTTTCCTCTAGATTTTTAAAAATCTTTTTGAAATCTTTTATAATAAGGTCTAAAAAAGCACCCGTCTAGAAGAAACCTTGAAGAATCTATTATATTTTACATTACCGATATATTATGTGTCCTGTTAGTAAAATAATTTAATTACATATTCTAACTATATTTACATATTTTTATGATGCATTACTATTATCGAGATGAAATAAAAGAATCTATAAAACAACCATTTTTCAACTTTGAATATTTTTGTAATGGCTTTAAATTACAATTTTTACTCTGTTATTGTATTTTTGTGAGCTACTGTGTCCAAATAAATTCCCTTGTGGATCAATAATGTTGTCCAAGTCTAAGTACGCAAATTGCAATAGATATTAGAAACTCGTAGAATGTAAACATTTCTTTTTTTCATTATAATTACAAGGACACGGTATACAAAAAAAAAATGACCTTCCCAAAATAGAAAACATGTTTATAATTATGCTGCAAATGAAGTCTTTGTCATTGTCTTGAGTATGTCTCCCCCTATCTGCAAAGTCCAGTACTACAACATATTTTCATTGCATTGACACAGACCATATTGTATTTCCTTCTGAGAAATATGGAGTTTATAATTATTAATGACTCAAAACAAAGTCAACATCATGGGGCACGTTTTATTTTGGTTCCACATCAGAACTTGTTTGGTGTTTGCGATCGTAAATTTACAAAAGAAAGGGTGAAAACAAATAAGCAAAACCCAACCCGAAAAGAAGAAATGGACAGATCCCAACAACTGCTTAATTAATCACTAATAATGATGATGATTTTTGGTCACATTGGGCCACTCTGTTTTATTACAAACTAAATAAATAAAAAAATTGACAATCCGGTAACCCCAAAAATATATAACTGTATAGTATAAAACCAACACAACACATAAATAATAGGGAGATGGTGGACTTATATTGAAGAATAAAGAGTTTACTTGATTTTCTTGTTGCTCTCTTTTACTCAAATACAGTTTTATAAATAGAACAGACGTTTTGACATAGAAAAATGAATCGTTAACCTTCCATTTTGGTAACAACTCGGAGCCAACTAATTATGTAATTCTGCAAGTTAGACTGATTAAAAGACTGCTTAATGCTTATATTTTTAATTTGCGTAACCAAGGGGAATTTGAGGCAGCTGCCCTTGGTTTTGTCATTTCTTTTTTTGCTTTCTAAACTGAATGAATGACAGTAGTTTTGACATAATAAAATGATATTCACGGGGCAAAAACTAATATAAACGCTATTGTCAACAGTGGTTCTCAAACTTCTCTACATTTCTAGTTTTAGTTTGATTTAAAGACAAATATATCCAGGTTTCTGTCCTTATTTTTTTTTTGGAAATTCTTATGTAACTTTTCCTGCCAGGACCTGTCACCTGCTTTTTTTTTTTTTTTTTTTTTTTTTTAACAATAATGGCTTTCCCTTTCCCACAGTATTCCACCCATCTCCGTGGTGATTAAAGAGCTGACAACCAAGTTATAAGTCAGATCTGTGGAGAGACATGCCTGCTCACGGTAAGGGTTGTTTGTCAAGGTATTTTTAGTCATGAAAATACCTGTTACTGAAGAAATCCAAGACATAAAAGTTTAATAATAACACAGATCATTCCAGGCAAAAAAAACAATAACACCTCATGAGACAAGCGAGTCAAGGACAGCCCTGCCAGAAAAGTTACATAGTGCGCCTTTAAATCATGGCTGAGTCCCATATAAGAACTCGTACAGATCTCAATCAATTTTCACGGTGGTCTGATATTCTTTTGGTGTAAAATGTTCGAGAACTGCTCTACTATAAACACAGCAACAATCTTCTCTGGCAGTAAAAACTAAACAATTACACGTCTAAGTTTAAGCCGGGGTTGAACTTTTTTTTTTGCGACTGACTTGTCTGTAATGAGCTGGTTTAAGAACAGCGTTACTGCAGTGGGTTAAGATGGAACTCAGACAGACAGGGACGCCAAAACAAACACATTGATATGAGCCAAATCAAGGTCAGATCAGCCATTTTCATCCAGCAGCACAAACACACACGCACACACTAACGGGTAGGAAATGTAGAGTTTACAAGATATCAACATTTCATCTGTATTAAAAGATGCACTACGTAACTTTCTACTTTTCAGGTGGCAGGTCCGACATCTGCATCTTTATCTCAGTGAAGATGCCATCAGTTCTCACTCTTTTTCACTGACAAAATTTCAAAGCTGATGATTTTTTCAGGACCCAAAGTGAATTTTCCATGATTTTACAGCACCCTACATAAGATGACATAAATGTTAATCCTTTTCACTCACTTTATGGTTTGTTATTATAGTTTTTTAACATTCAAAATCCTGTCAGTGCATTTATTGTCGTCTCTTTTAAACAAAAAGGCGCAAATGTTCTGAAATAATCATAATAGCTGAATGAGAACTTGACAGAACGCTGTAGTTGCGTGAAAGAGATACTAAAATTCCATGGCTTTTCCAGGATTTCCATGGCCGTGGGAACCCTGGCTATTGCTTTGCCTTGAATGTTCCACAGTATAGCATTAAACATATCCATGTCACATCCACTGCATTATAGATGTTTTGAAATATACTGAAAAACATGCATCCCATCTTACCAGAAACCTGTAATTTGGCCTTGTCTTCATGGAGATGGATATGTTTTATGCCGTACTGTGGAACATTCCGGGCTAAGCAGTAGCATCTCCATGGAGACAAGGGATTGGTGGCCACCCCAGTAAAGAGTTACATAGTGTACCTTTAAGAAAACAGTCAAAAAGCTGCAAAGAGGAACAGAGAATTGCAGTGTAATTGTCAAAAACAAGGTGAATACTCTTCATAATTGTTATATTTACAGTCCCACCAATTTTTGTGCTGTACTTGAACCTTAACCAAGACATTTACAGGGGATATTTCAGCACTTTGCAAAAATATGATCTGATCACCGCCCACAGTTAAAGGTACATTTAGTAATTTTTCCGGTGGAGGGTCCGTCTTTACTTTTCTTTGTCTGGAATGTTTCACAGTATGACATCAAACCTTTCTAACCTTTCTTTGAGCTATAAAAAACACCTGTAATTGAATAAATGTAAAGTAGAGCTGTTTAAAGTCATACTGTGGAACATTCCAGACAGAGCAGCAACATATCCATCGACACAAAACAGGTGACGGAGCCCCAACCAAAAAGTTACATAATGCACCTTTAACTCACACATAAGTCCTGACGCAAATAAACAAACTATGTACCAGTGTGTTAGAGTCAGTCTGTTACGACCCGACGCGCGTGGTGGTGGTTTTCTTGTCGGAGAAAAAGCTCCGCAGTAGGACGACTTGGCTGATGCTGACGACCAGGAGGATGATGGCTTCTCCGATCGACCAAAACGCCACGCGAGTGTTAAGGTCCTCGGCGCGACTGCGGCCCTGAGCCTCACGGAGACGGAAATGTGTCTGATAATCAATGACTGACTTTGAAGCCTCATGAATGGACACGCAGGCCGACTCCATCTGTGAACGAGGTGCGAGGGAAAGAGGCGTTAAGGTACAATCCAGTGAGCAGGTCATTACTCTCTAATAGGTGTGGAAATGAACTGTGCCAATCTCTGCAGCAATTAAGACTTACACAGACTACAAAGCAGTTTTCAAGTCATAGAGAAATATTGAGTGTTACTTTATATCTGATTTGAGCAGTAGTTCTCTATTGAAATGACACACATGCTTCACAGGAAATGCCAACCACAGAGGAAGTGAGGGTCAATAGCACAGGGTGAATATTTCCAGACAAAATAATTTTTTCATTAAAAACACTAAGATTTCCAACTCTATTTTATATAGTAGTGAGAAGACTGTGCTGTCCAAAGTAGTTGAAAGAGCCTTTTAATGCATTACTTTATTATTATTTTTTTTTTAATCAGTTAACACTGTTTTGCTATTGTCAGTAAACAAAGTGCTTAGTGTTTTGTTGTGGCCAGGAGCTCCTTGCCAAAGCCTGATCTCGTCAGATCTCTGAAGCTAAACCGGATTAGGCTTGGTTAGTTCTTGGATGGATATCAGGTGCCACTTTGGGCGCCAGTAGCAAAAACCTGTCCTTGGGCAAGACCACCCATTCTGTCAAGTACGAACGTGGTGTGAGAGTGTTGGTGGTGGTCAGCCTCACTTCTGCTAGTCTGCCCCAGGGCAGCTGTGGCTACAATAGTACCATAGCATCACAGAGAGTGGAGTGAATAAATAATGCACCAAATTGTAAAGCGACTCTGAACGCATTATTATTATCAATATAAAATGAATAAACTAGCATGCATTTGGCAAATAAGTTTTGAGAATGATAAAAATAAACACAATGTAAATTCTCATATATTTTAAATGCGGCACTTCATGTGAGCACATTACCCTGATTTTACCGTCTTTGCACTCGCTTTCAGTTTATTTTAGAGCTGATTTTAAGATGTTGTTGTTTGTTTTCAAAGCTTTGAATGGATTGGCCTCACAGTACGTGTCAGACCTCATCCAGATTTACTCCTCTGCGTGCGCTCTGAGGTCCAAGGAACAGCTCCAGCTCGTGGGGCCTGAGGCGAGACTTAAAACTAGGGGGGACAGGGTCTTCTCTGTGGTCGGCCCTAAGCTCTGGAAAGCTCTGCCCTCCCACGTCCAAACATCGCCCACAGTGGAGAGTTTTAAATCTCGTCTTAAGACCCACTTTTATTCTCTGGCTTTTAACACCGTGTGAGTTGTGTGGTCCTCTGTGTCTTTTATTTATTTCACTTATTTACTGCTATTTTATGATTTTATGATTTTATGGTCTTGCTTTTACTTGATTTGACAAGTTTTCATATACTGGTATGACCAAATTTTAGCAATTTACCTTTTTGTTGTCTTCGTTTTATGATCTCTGTGCAACACTTTGGAAACGGCTTTGTTTGTAAAATGTGCTATATAAATAAAGTGGATTTGGATTTACAGAGTTTAGTCACACAGTGAGATACAAGCTAATAAATAACCTGCATTCACAGAAGTTAAATCCCCATAATGAGTCTCTCACCTGAGTAAGAGCAGTGACTCTGTTCTCATTGGGAAACAGAGGAGGGTCATCGCCGACCTGGAAGTCAAAGTAAACGGTTTTGTGGGTGAAGGTGGAAAACTCGTTGCTGAAGCAGAACTTGTAGGTGCCGTTCTTCGCTGCTGTGAACGTGAAGCTGTCGTATTGTTTCTTCATCTCTTTATAAAGAGTGGTGCCATCAGGGTCCTCCAAGCGACAGTCCACATCGTAATGTCCACCAGTCACAACCTAAAAAAAAAATCATTATTTAAAACTCAGAATAACATGGAAATTACAGAAACATCAACTATATACATTATTTTACAGGCTATTAGGCGCTCTGGATTATAAGACGCACTGTCACTAAATGGTGTATTTTCGAACTTTCTTCACAAATAAACCACACCTTTAAACGAAACACAACAGTTGGATGGGTCAACGGGACTTTGTTTGTGTCGTTCACGGTGACTCTGGGCTTTGCTCAGTTGTGGCATGTAGGGAGGGTGCTGTCTGGGACCGCTGGATTGTCGGCGTGTTCGCAGTGACTCAGTTGTTAAGTTGTGTCTAGAAGTGGCACATTGGACTCAATTTTTCGGTTCATTCCTCTGTTCCGTTCCTCGTCGGCGTGGAAAGATGAGTGTGTCTGCGGGTGTATTTCGCTGTGCGGTCGCTGTCTGCTCCGTGTGTGTTTGTGTGCGCTGCGGGAGGTGTGGCTTTGTAGTTTACTGAAGTCGTGCTGGGACACCCGAGTGGATTCGTGTATAGGGTGCTCTGGATTGCGGGACGCGTGGTCGTTTTTTGATGTGGTTAGAGGCTTAAGAGCACGTCTAACAGCCCGGAAAATACGGTAGTAATGCAAACAACAAGATATTACAATGGAAATGAACTGCAACTATTTGACAAGGAGCAGGATCAAGTCAAAACATTAAGGCACATTTTCATCCTAAACTCACTGAAAGTTGTTTTGAGATTGATTCATGCATGTTTCAGTAATCTCGCTTTGTCCTGCAATCAAGCCTCCATTTTCACCTACCCCACCTCCATCCCCTGCTCGGTATTTACTCGTAGTTATTTTAAAAATGCAGATTCCAGGTCATGCATACAAGGCTCAAAAATGTCACACAGCCAATTCCCTACTTTAAACCCAGCGCTTGCTTTGCAGTTCTGCAGATTTAAACAGGAAGTCAATGAAACTGTTTCTATTCTTGAGCGACTTTAGATCAATATTGTGGTTTACAATGAACAATGCCTCAATTATACAGACTTAAACTGCCCAAATTATAAAAAAAATATATGAAATTATTGTTAAAAGCTATTTATTATTTCAAGCTAATTTTTATGCACTATTAACTTGTAAGAAATATGTTGTCCTTCATGATTTAAAAGCCAGCCAGTGTTCAGGGGAAGAAAAAGCATTCATATTATCCAGAACAGAATTCTCGATCAACAATTTAACTATTTCTGTAATTTAGGGTAACCAGACGTTTGTTTTTGATCAGTTTGATACCTGCCAAAAGTAAAGAGAGGCATCAATTGTAATTTGTTTTGGTAAAATACAAAAAAATCTGTCTAAAAAACAACCACACCACAAAGAAAATGTGACTATACTGACTCACATGTTAGTCATGAATGGTCTCTGCATGACAATTTTCCTTAATTACGCATTCGTTTCACAGTTTTATTTTTAAAAAACCTGGGGATGACGCAGTTTTTTATTTTGAAATTCTGGTCACCCTACTGTAATTGATCAGCTAGAGCATGAATAATTAAAACTGAACTAATAATGGAACTGTTCTAGTATAGCATTATATTGGAAAAGCATATTTGATATTTTGTTCATAATTCTTAAAAAATCATTAAAGCCAGATCTAATACTTGCTCTCACTGGAGCGGTCGGCAGCTGTTCAACTATCGAACTCCCAGATCAATATGGTTCGTTTTGTGATGGTTTTAGCACGCAGATTAATCTTTCTAAACTCCATTTCATTTGATCTTAATGAAAGACATAATGAAACATAAACAATTAGAATAAATAATTGAATTACTCAAGGGAAATCTCAGAATATTTTCTTCTACATTTATAGATTTCTACAACTTCACAAATGTGTAAAAACTGAGCTGAAAAAGATATTATGAGGAATCCTCTTGTTGTTCACTGTTCTTTGTTGTTTGTCTGGTTTTGTTTTGTTTTATTTTATAATCTTTGTTATATTGTATAATCTATATGTACGCTTAAAAAAACAAACAAACTACAACTGTACAACAACTCACCCTCATGTAGAATAGAATAGAACAGAATAGAAAGCCTTTATTGTCATTATACACTAGTATAATGAGACGCAGAGCTGCACCTTCAAAGTGCACGCAAATTAACAGTGCAAACTTGATTTTGGTGTGGTGACAGCTTTGTTCAAGAAGCTGTCCCTAAGTCTTTTTGTTCTGGCTGGTGTGGACCTGAAGCGCCTGCCAGAAGGCAACAGGTTGAAGAGGTGGAAGCCGGGGTGGGTATTGTCCTTTATGATGTTCCTAGCCCTGCTGAGACAGTGGGAGTTGTAGACGGTGGATATGGAAGGCAGAGTAACATGTAACGGATAAACCTATGTCTCATCAATCATCTTATCACAGGGTTCTCACTCTTTTTTACTGACAACATCTAAAAACTTTTCCCTGGCTTTTTCATGACCTAAAGTGAATTTTCATGACTTTACGGCACCTGCATGAGTAGAATTAATCATATTTTTAGGGCTAAATATGAAATCTTAACCCTTTCCACTCATCTTATGGTTTGGTATTATAGTTTTTTAACATTAAAAATATTATCAGTGCTTTTACTGTTGTCTCATTTAAACAAAAGGCGCATACGGTCAGAAATAACCATAATAACCTAATGGTAACTTAACAGAACGCTGTAGTTGCGTGAGAGAGATACTAAAAATGGAATACAGTGCCTGCTCATATACAAGAGCTTTCAACACTGGCAGCATTTTCTAAAGCTTTAAAACTGTGGTTGTTCAATGCTCAAATATGTCACCATGTTTAACAAATTTAATTTTTTTTTTATTTTGAGGGGTTATTGGTTTAACTCTTGGTTTAACTCTTAAACTATTGACTTTGAACTTAAAATGAACTGTCTGAAATTAATTGCGTGTATAATGAGTGTGTTGTACGTATAGAGAGTGTGCCGGGGTCGTGTACTTTTGTGTGATTGTTGCTGTACTTTTCCTTTGTCCTGTAGATGATTTCACATCAACCTGCCGAGGGACTGAAGATGGAAATTAGCCACTTTTGCTATAATCTTTACATATTTACTCTTTTCCAGGATTTCCATGCCCTTGGGAACCCTGATATCATTGTTGCACTGCCTTCCAATGACCTCATGTTTATTACTTATCTTTCTATTTTATTTTGACTTGTACAGTTACATTTATATAGCTATATCTTATTGACATCTGTCACTTGCTATATATCTTTGCTACTTATTTAGAATGTATTATTACCGTTTATATTTTTGCTCTTTGTGATTATATTACCTATGGAGTAAGAAAGCTTTCAGAAATATTCGTGCGTACAGAATAGAAATCCGTGCGTACTTGGAAAATCTGTGCATATTTGGCTGTAGTTGCGCATAAAATAAATATCTGTAAACTCTCCAGTGAGTCCAGTCGATAAATAATGCCTGTGAAGTGACGTATTTTTGACAGTAAAGTCCCGTCTGTGAATTCGTATTCGTACTGATGAAAGCATAATCATAAATTTTCATTTCGTGATGGTAATTCTTGATGTCGTAACTTTTAAATTTGTATTCTGATGGATAAAATACACACAATATATTTTATGTACGACTGGACTCATTGGAGAGTTTATAAATATTTATTTTATGCGCAACTACAGCCAAATATGCACAGATTTCTATTTTATGCGCACAAATATTTCTGAAAGCTTTCTTACTCCATAATTACCGGTATATTGTGATATGTGAGCTACTGTATCCATGTAATTTCCCTTATGGATCAATAAAGTTTGCCCAAGTCCACGTCTGTCAATAAAGAGAAAACAAACTGAGCTTATACTGTACCTGAAACTCCAGAGTGCACTTGGTCCCGACGGTGATGTCTTCGTAGAAACACTGCTTGGCGTTGTCCGGCAGCTCAAAAGTGAGCTCCGAGCCCATCACCCACACCCACAGGAGCTGAGCACAGAGCACCTGCAGCAGCCGAGAGCCGTACATGATGGACAAAACACTCAAGTGGCTCCTGATAAAAACCACACGGGACCTGCAACAACACAAACCGACTCTATAAGCAGTGTTGGGGAGTAACAGATTACAAGTACCGGAGTTATGTAATCAGAGTACAAATTATGAGTAACTGTATTCAGTTACAGTTACTGTTTCAGTGAGTGGTAATTGGATTACAGTTACTTTGTTGAAATAAATGATTTACATGGTGGTATTTTCCTGTCACATTTTCACATTTTGGGCTAAATCCCACGTCTCCTTCCGTACTGTGTAGACATTGCCGGTCTCCTGTGCACCTCTAAACTAGAACTAAAACCAGGACTAAACCAGTCCAGGACTAAACCAGCTCTAAACTAAGACTAAAACCAGGACTAAACTAGGTCTAAACCAGGACTAAAACCAGGACTAAACCAGAACTAAACCAGGACTAAACCGGAACTAAACCAGGACTAAACTAGGTCTAAACCAGGACTAAAACCAGGACTAAACCAGGACTAAAACCAGGACTAAAACCAGAACTAAAACTAGGTGTAAACCAGGACTAAAACCAGAACTAAACCAGGACTAAACTAGGTCTAAACCAGGACTAAAACCAGAACTAAACCAGGACTAAACTAGGAACTAAAACCAGGACAAAACATCTTATGTTAAGATATCCTAGTCTTTACTACTTTACGGTAAACAGTTGCTTATTCATGGAGATTTGGGCTCAACAGCCAATTTAAAGAGAACAAACAAGAATCTTCAGGATGTGGTCGCTGCATTCATGTAGTTTTAAAAAACACGACAATATCAAGTCAAAGTATTCAGATCGATCACCTTAAGAATTACGTTACAAATTACATTTTGGGGTATGTAATCTGTAATCTGTAGGGGAATACATTTTAAAAGCAACCTTCCCAACACTGTCTATAAAATCATCATTTTATTCAGAAAACAAAAAACCCGGACATGATTATTGGCTATTAGCTCTCGGCTGCTAATAACTCACTGCTAACCGGGTCGGAGCAGCTGCTTGATGATTCAAAGAGCAAATACGTAAGTTAATGATGGTTTATTTACACACTTATATAATTTATACAACGAGGATACTTAGTTTAAACCACGTATTTTAATCCTAACTGCAGTAAATACGTCTAAATGTGATGTTTTTATCCGTTCAGTCAGAATTAGACACTCACCTCCAACAGCTCACCCGGATGTGACCAGCGTAAAAAACGACGTGTTCTGAACGTGCCCTACGATTGGTCAAAACTCAGGAAGTGAGAAGAGCGAAATCACGTGAGCCACGTCTACGGTTCTAAACATTTTTTTTTTTTTTTTTTTTTTTATTTAACCTACTCTAAGTCAACACGACAGGGGATAAACAGGGACGTGGAAAACACACAAACAGCACAGAACCACAAAAAAACAAAAAACAAAACAAAACAAAAAAACACGATACGACACACAACACACGAAAATTCAAATACACTTTACCACATAAAATATAAAATAAAGAGCATAACATAAAATGCAGACTGTTACATTATAGTTATTTCCTATTGATATTGTGTGTTTTAATCGCGTTTCTGTTTTTGTGTGTGTTTTGTGTTTGGAAATATTGTTGTATTTCGTAATTACAGTTGTAACATTTGGGTTATTTTGAGTCCATTTTGTTGTGTGTTTATGATATGTCCCCAGCATGATCAGAGTCTGAATGAGGACTTTTCTACTGGAATCACAGGTCCGCTGCTTCATTTCTTTCTTTCTTCCCCCCCCTTCTGGCTCAGTCTGTTTAATTTGGTTCCTGGTTCCAGCGTGGCTTCTGCGTGTTGTGTGTACATGATCCGGTCCAACGTGACCTCTAATTTAATTCAAAACAGAATATGCTCGCCATACACTGTAATTTTCTTCCCACGTACTCTAACAATAAGCTAAAACAACAATATGACATGACAAATTGCATCTGTACTTATTATACTTACAGATAATAAGATTATTAGTCAGAGGCATAGAAAGAGGCATTTGGAAACTTTATGCCATATAAATTGGATGAAGCTGTTAAAAAAGACCATTTCACGATTATAAATACATATTTTTTACCGTCGATATAAAATGCAAATATAAATAAAGAGCACCTGTGACACCATATATAGTTTAAAATGTGACGAAATCTTTTAAATGGCTCTAAAAATGTAAGAAAACTGCCATTATCGCAACACAAAAACATATTTTATGCTTTCTCAAACCATGTGGCTTTTTTTTTTTACTCGGTTCACAACATAATAAAACATCTATTTATGATGCACAATGTCTGTATCCAGATGTATATCATATATGTTTGGCTAGATAAATAAATAAAAAAGAGAGATTTTATGTAACTTTTTTGATGCATTGAGGTTACGTGCAGCTGTTCTGATTGACCCACAAATATAGAACAGTAGATCTCGCATTCAGCTTCTTAGCATGCTTTAAAATCACCGCCATCTTGGTAGGGGAGTTCTATGGTCTAAGCCGGTAAAGATTTTCTTTTGTAGGTAAGTGTTGTGTTTTGAACCCAGACTGTCTGAACTCAGGACTAAACCAGGATTGAACCAGGACTAAAACAGGACTAAACCAGGACTGTACGGGGAAGGAGGTGATGCTACTTGGTCTGTGGAAAAAGCTGATATCGCCTTGTCCCTTATCCAGGAAAAAAACATCCGTCAGAATTAATTTGGACAGCTCAAGCATAATAACCTACTTCCATCATAAATAACATAAAACTGCATATTTAGTAAACCTACTTTCATATTCATAAATCCAAATTCAAAATCATTATCCAAGACATCAAGAATTATCTTCAAACTCTGAAAAGTAATCCTAATATTAAATCTGTCAGAACACTCAAAATCACAGAAGAATTAGGATTTTATGTTTTTTACTTTCTTTGTACGCATTCTCTGCCTCAATATAAGTTTACAAAAAAAAAGTTAATAAATGAATAAAAATATCTCCTTGTCCCCGATTGATGTTCATTCATTCATAATTAGAACTAAATATCTTTCCTTTGCAGTTCCCCCTCAAGTAAAGGAGATACAATTCTAAATTTTTAATAAAATTTATCCTACCAATGAATTCTTCATCACATCTACATCTTTTCTTTTCATGTAGTTTGGTACAACAATTTTGGTTTGATTTTCATTCGCTGCTTCAGTCCAGGGGAATTCAATTTGGTGTATTAAGAGAAGATAAAAGGAAGGAATTTGGAATGAATACTTTATTAATCTTAGGTCATTTTTTAAATTCACAAATGTTGATTTTTTTAAGGTAAAACCAAATATAACGCACTTTAGAAATGATCTAAGTATTTTTGTTGACTCATTGAACCCGATTGAAAAAAGGGAACCCAGGTTTTTTGTATACTTTTTGTTCCATTGATTACACGCTTTAGAATTTGCCCTCATAGTTCGTCCATGAATGTATTTTTTTGTTTTGTTTTTGTTTTTATTCACAACTGTACAACTGTGATTTGAGTTTTTTGGTGCCTTTTTGTTTGTATCTGGGATTTGAAGTACTTATAAAAAAAATTATAATAATAAAAACAAAAAAAAAGTTCATTCATTTAAATCAGCGTTACTCCTGTACCAAGATGGCGGCTTTGTTGTCACATTCGTCCCAACACATGGCGGTAGTCAACGCGAGATCTACCGTTCTATAATAACTCCGCGATTGACCCAGATACAGACTCTCGCGAGATTCCGGTGAAGGGAGGGTTTTACGGCGGAGCAGACAAAACAAAAGCCACACGATTCAACCATCAGGCGCTGGTCGCTTTTTGTTTTTTCTGTACCCCCAAGACATCATTACCATCTTTATAACGATTTAAAGTGAGATTTTTGCACCATGCCGAGTAGCACGTCGTTGCTGGAGGCGGAGGAGGGCGAGTCCGAAGTGCCCCCACCGTTAGTCCACGCGTTCACCGGTATGGGCCTAGAGGAGAGCGGTACCCCCGAGCAACAAGAAGCCGATGAAAACCTCTCCTTCCACCCGCACCACCACCACCACCTCCCCGCGGTCTCCCATTTCAGCATGCTCGGTACGGTCCTGGACTTGAAGCCGCTGCCCAGCCTGCACCGATCGCCGTCAGAGGAGGACCTGAGCGGGGATGAAGACGCGGGAGGAGTCGGCGGCGGTGGCGGTGAGTGTCCCGGTGGTGGGTCGCTGCTGCTGGCCCAGGCCCACCGCCACCATCACCACCACCACCACCACAACCAGCAGCTCCAGGCCGGGTTGGAGCACGCTTCCCCGGTGGAGACGGTGCTCCTGTACACCGGGGACGAGCGGGAAGACTCCGGGATGAGCACCGTGGCCATGCTCCAGTCCGGCGTGTTCGGAGATCCGAGCTACGAGGCCGAAAACTCGCTCCTAAATCGGCGAAAAAGCGTAAACACCACCGAATGCGTGGCTGTCCCGAGCTCCGAGCATGTAGCAGAGATTGTAGGAAGGCAGGGTAAGTTATTTTTACTGATAAATCCACAAAAAAAAATCATTATCAACCCAAACTTGCAACTTCTCCCAAATGATAAAACTGTAAATATTTTGGAAAAATGCTTGCTTAAACCGGTCAAAGTTTACCTCATAACTTCACCATTCCACACTGAAGCACATATCTTTTTACAATAACATTTTAATAGCATTTTTTCGCGTTTTTCCAACAATAGATGCATGGTTTATTGTTAGCAAAAGTTGTTAGCTTAGCACATAACTGGGTCACCACCCAAAACACAAAATCATCCTGGAAAAGTTTGCATTTCAACCAATTTTTCTGTTTTTTTCACGTGGTTACATTAATATTTATATAGACAGCAAATTAGTGTTTTGTTTTTATGAGTCATAACAGTGAACATGACTAAAATGTATCTGATTTTGCCACCTCAGCTCTGACTAAATCATTGATGTGGGTATATTTTTTCTTACAAAACCTGTTTGATTGTCCTCCGAATGACAAATTGAAATGCCGTCTTCCAACTTTCAATAGAAACAGTTTAAGGAGAAGATGATTACACAGGATATTGAAAATGAAAGTACTTAAATAACAAAAGAAATCATAGAAAACATTAACGCAAGGTTGAATTATCAAAAATGAGAAAGTAGGAGGGTTTGGTGAGTTTGTTTTGGTTGGGGTTGGATAAAAAATACTTAACGTTTTATTTTAAATCTGCTACAAAAAGTCAGAGAAGATATAAGCTTATTTTTTTTATTTATTCATATCCATACAATATTATAGTCTATGTGTAGATGTAAGGATTATGCGACTTAATGAAATTACATGAACCAATACACAATTTTAACAGTTTTTAAATGAAACCCCATTCTTTCTCTTTGCATAATAACCATACACAATAGGCTGAGTGCAGAAGAGCTGGAAAGTCTTATGTCTTGGTGAAGCAGATGGGGGAGGGTGCACACAGACTGCAGTGTTGACAACAACAGGAAATGGGTCTGGTAAAGCCGGACTCTCATCCACAACTGAGAGCAATTTTAAATGTCCTATAGTGTGGTAATTTCTGAGTGGCATTGTTGACAGGGCATATATTTTAAAGGGTCCATACTGGGCTTTTTAAAAAATGTATGTTATAATGTTGTTTCCTCATCAGAAACACACCTGGAGTTGTGTTTTTGTTTCATACACACTTGTTTAACACACAAATACTGCGTAGTTCTGCTCTCAAACGGACACTCTGTTTCATTTTGTGACGTCATGTGGTGATACAGGAAGTGCTCCACTGTTTTTAAACAATATACACCTTCACTAGAATCATTTGGATAATTTCTGAACTGAACTAAACTAAAGGTAAAACGTGGAGCAGAGCATTTTGAGCTTTCGGAGATGTAGACAGACAAATAATAAATGATTTCTTAAACATGTGTGAATGAAACGAAGGCAAGGCAAGTTTATTTGTATAGCACAATTCGTACACAAAGTAATTCAAAGTGCTTTACAGAAAAAGAAATACATACAAATCACAATCAAAACTAATCAAAACATGCATAATCATAAAGATTAAAATTTAAAAAGGTAGACATAATAGATAGAGAGAAGAGAAACAAAACAACTTCAAGTTTTTGATGCAGTAGCAACAATCTAACTTTTTTTTTTTCTCTTGCGTCATGATTAGATTAGTTATTTCTGTTTTAACAGTAGAATTCTGTTCAGAGTTCACATTTTTAAACGCGGTAACAACGACTGACAAAAAAGCCTGAAACACGAACTGACAAACTAACACAAGAGTCTCAGTTCAGAACATGTTCGTGCAGATCTGATTCAGAATAAGACAGAATGGTTTTTGTTTGTGGAGGAAATTACTGTACTTCCAAAATTGTAGCCTTAATTCTTCTAAATCGCATTTTAGACAGAACTTGTTGTTAAAGTAGGTGTGAAAATGTTGACCTTTCTCTTCTGTTAATGTGTCTTCAGATAATCAATGTTAAGATTACTATGAAAACTAGACAACCGAAGTTGAATTATGACTGTAGTATTGAAACTGGTATTTTTCATGGTTTCAGAATTATTTATTTATTTGAATAGGTCCAAATACAACAAGGTTCACCAGTTCCCAGAAGGTCTTTTAAAACTTATTTCCGATTAAAACTTTAAAACAGGTAAGATTTCTCTAAAGAGCAGTAGGGATATTTATAGAAAAACAATAAATACACTGAGTTTCTTAAGCAAAAAGTGACCCAACACTGAACTCTTCTCTGTTTGCCCAAGTAATCTTCGTCACAAAGACATTTTCAAAGTATTAAGTCAGTCATAGAAACTATTATAGTGATTTGCTTGACCCAATCCCCAACAAAAATCCAACGGATTTTATGGATTATATGTTTGGAGAATTCTTTTCAAATGGCGCCCTCGTTATAGTATGGAAAAAAATAATAATAATGAGGTTTCATTTTGTCAATATCGCCCGTCCCTCCACCTAACTGTGTTTACTTTTACTCCAGGTTGTAAGATTAAAGCGCTCCGAGCCAAGACCAATACCTACATAAAGACTCCGGTGAGGGGGGAGCAGCCGGTGTTTGTCGTCACCGGGCGGAAGGAGGACGTGCTGATGGCCAAAAGAGAGATTCTGTCCGCCGCCGAACATTTCTCCCTCATCAGAGCCTCGCGGAACAAAGCTGGACCCCTGACGGCGGTGACGGGACCCGGGACCCCCGCCCTGCCCGGCCAGACCACCATCCAGGTCAGGAAATGTCAAACGTATTGCTCGGTTCCAGATGACAACTCAATATTTTATAGATCAATAATATTTAATACAGATGGAGGGAGCTGAAATTGATACTGAAATTGAGTTTTATGATCTAGCTGCTAATAGAAATGATCAGGTTCAACGTTTGTGAATTTACTTCTTACTTAGTACAGTGTGAACAACAGAAAAATCAGGCTCTTGACCCTCCACCAGGAAGTAGAACATCATCACTTTCTGTTATCTGAAAAAAATCAATAGTGTGAATACACATTACTGGTTAAAAGTTTTAGAACACCCTAATTTTTCCAGTTATTTATTGCAATTTCAAGTTGTGCAAGTCCAGTGAAGAGCTTGAAATGGTACAAAAAAGAAAAAAAAAAAAAAGAACAAAACACAAGTCCCAGCTCTGCCAAAAGTACCTCAGGAAAAAAACAACAACAAGATGGTAAAACTTGATAATGGCCGTTTCCCGTTTACATAACTGCATACTAACTGAACCAGGACCAAACTAGGACTAAACCGGTCTCAATTCTGGTCTGGTCTTGGTTGCAGTCGCAGTCTTAGTCCTGGTCTGGTCTCAGTTCTAAACCAGAACTAAACCAAGAATAAACCAGGATTGAACCAGGAGTGTCGGGACAGACCGAGAGGTGCGCCCGCCTAGACTGTTGGGTGACCGGGGCGGACAGACACCGGGGCGGACAGACACCGGGGCGGACAGACACCGGGGCGGACAGACACCGGGGCTTACAGACACCGGGGCTTACAGACACCGGGGCTTACAGACACCGGGGCTTACAGACACCGGGGCTTACAGACACCGGGCACAGACACCGGGGACAGACACCGGGGCGACACCGGGGCGGACAGACACCGGGGCGGACAGACACCGGGGCGGACAGACACCGGGGCGGACAGACACCGGGGCGGACAGACACCGGGGCGGACAGACACCGGGGCGGACAGACACCGGGGCGGACAGACACCGGGGCAGTATCGACATTCAATATATGAAAGCTGGAAGAATATATTTTGGGCGTGGGTACTTTTACTTTGCAATAGTGGCGTGATTTTTAACCATTTTAATGTAATACGATAATGATATTGTCTATTTAAAATCGGTTTACTGACATTATCTTGCTTTGTATCAGTAGCTTAAAGTGGTTTCAGTATTAATGTTTATCTCTCTAGCAACATATCCTGCTTCAAAATGTCTTATTGTGACGGGTTTATACCGATTTAGTCTCTTTAAAGGTGTTTCTACTGAACCACGTCTTTACCATTGTTGTGCTTTTGGCAGGTGCGGGTGCCGTATCGTGTTGTTGGGCTGGTTGTTGGTCCAAAAGGTAAGTTCAAATGTTTTTTAGTGAATATATTAGTAATAATTCTCCAACCAGTTTATGTTGTCAACCCTGGGAAAGACTCTTTACTCTCTTTTCTTTATCGTAAATAGACTTTTGTGAGCTTTTAGACATGTTAAAATGTTGTTACCTCATCAAAAACATACTTGGAGTTGTGTTTTGTTTGAGTATATTATTAGTCTGATGTCATGAAATTGTAGTTTTAGTTACAGTTTTTACCTTAGACTTAGACAAACTTTATTGATCCACAAGGGAATGATTTGGACACAGTAGCTCACACAACACAATACAATAATAAGAGTCCAAATCCAAATCCACTTTATTTCTGTAGCACATTTTACAATCAAAACAGTTTCCAAAGTGCTGCACAGAGATCATAAAATGAAGACAAAAAAAAAGGGTAAATTGTTAAAATTTCATCATACCGGTTCTAAAACAATAAAACCAGTAAAAGCAAATAAAAAGCAAGAACCATAAAATCGTAAAATAGCCGTAAATAAGTAAAATAAATAAGAGACACAGAGGAGTAAAGAGTAAAAAATATAAATGGTAATAATAAATTCTAGGGATGGGCATGATTAGTCGATTAAACGATAACTGATCATTAAGAATTTCGTCGATTACGTTCATTTTTTTTCGACAAACCGAATGTAGGTTACTTTGCGTAGTTTGTATATTCCACCGAGTCGTGTCCTTTAGTTCGACAAGCTAAACCACATTGGCGCAGAAGAGTGTTTTTTTTTCTTCGCTTCGTTTATGCAAATTAGCCATGCGGTTTTAAGTTTCGTTTTGCAAAGCTGCATTAAACACATTATAATGTCAAACGGGCTGATGTGGCTCTAGAGTGGTTACGGTTTATATGTCGTAAAATTGAATTTATTTATGCGGATTAGTAGTGCAGATAGTAATAATAATGATGATAATTTTATATTTAAAAAAAAAAACGTTAAAGGGATAGTTCAGGTTTTTTGACATAAATCTGTATGTCATCCCCGTGAGCAATGTCGTGCATCAACACTGACGTACCCCCAAAAGCGTCCGGTGAGCCGAGACCCTGGCCGATTTCGGTGCTGACGAAAGTAGTCCGGCAAGTTGGCTGGGGACATTAAAATAAAGCGTTTTTCTTCTCAAAACAATCTGTGTTCAAAAGAGTGATACACTTGCATCACAAAACCATCGTCCTCAACAAAGTCCAACCTCATAATCGCTCTGCACTATTTTCTCTCCGTTCATATCGCTGCGCGCTGCCGCCAGGTTTTATATAGGTATTAATTGATAATTGATCGTTAATTCTAAGAAAATTTTATAGAATGCCCATCCCTAATCAATTCTAAATAAGTGGCAAAACCTGGAGCAGAAAGTAGAGATTAAGGTTGCAGAGATTCAGCGCTGAAATCATCCAAATCATTCTGGTGAAGCTGAGTTTAAAAACACAGTGGAGCACTTCCTGTATTGTGTTTTCTGCTTGAGAGAAGAACTAAATATGTGTAAATATGCTTTGTTTGTGTGTTTAAACGTGTGTGAATGAAACAAAAACGCAACTCCGGATCTGTTTTTCGACGAGGAAACGACATTATAACATCAGATCAGAATCTAGAGTAATACGAGCTCTTTAACAGTCTGTGAGAGCGACAGCCTCACTTCCATCTGTCTGCTGCGGGGCTGGGAGTGAGTGAGTGAGTAATCGACAGTGAACAAGAATTCTAAAATGACTTGTCATGTTTGGGAAGTGAAATGCAGTTACAACGCTTTATTCTTTGCCTATAAAATGCTGTAAAATCATTTGAAAACGTATTGTAAAATGAGCATTGTCCTGTAGTTTCCCTCCCTGCGTTTAACCTCTTTCATGTTGACATTACCACCTCGGTGTCAGGAAACTCTTGGGTTGATTTGTAAATTGAACAGTGGTAATTCTCAACCATGTGTTAGTCAGGAGAGGGCAGGACGGACACAGGCCTTATTTGGACTGGATCTGACACTAGTTTTTCTGTTTGCCTATAAAAAGTCTACATAGTCTACATTCCCCAATGAAAATGCCAGGTATTTTTACATTTTTTTTATTTGGTATTTAAGATTTTACTGTAATTTGTGTGGCATCAGTTTACATTTGGTTCATTCATAAACCAAAATATTGATCTTAAAACAGCTTAGTACTAAAAACTGGTTCACTGACTTCCTGTTTAAAATTGCAGAACTAACATGCCCCACCTTTAGTTACAAGCAACAGATTCACGTTTAGTTTAGTTTTTTTATGTTGAAAAATGGTTATGTGACTCGGAGCTTGAATTTTCAGTGGTTGGAGGGAGGGGGGATAGGTGAAAACTGCAAGAGCACTCAAGACTCAAATCAAAATACAACTTCATCTAAGCCAGTGATAAGGGAAAATTAAGCAAAATGAATCCAGAATCAGCTTAGACAGAGAGATTCTTTATTGATCCTCGAGGGAAACTATTAGAGGTGTAACAGTAAACAAAAATCACCGTTGGTACCTTGGTTTTTGAGGTCACAGTTCAGTTAATTTTTTGTACAGTTTGGGAACAAAACATGAAACCATTTGCTTGTTGTTTATTTGTGTTTTTATTAAACCAACAATTTGTTTTGCATTTATTTTATTTTCCTGTTTGTAAAGTGCTGCTTGGTTGTACCATTAAGTTAAATAAAATATTCTCAAATAAGCAACAAATGTATGAAATATTATTATTTTAAAAATTAATTTCTTGTAAACGGTAAACACAACTTTTTCAAAAAGTAAAGCGCAACACGAACAGTTCCAGTATGAAGTTTTACTCAATCTTCATATTTTTTTATGATGATTCCGTGCGGCAAGAGGTGAAAGTGAGGACTGGGGCGCAATGACCATAGTTTTGCGAGGATTCACTTGGTTCGGCGAGACGTAGTCAAGGCGGCTGCCCTAACTATAAAGCGCCGCAGGAAACAGTGCTCCAATCACAGACGAGTTTCCTTGTGAATATTAAAGAGCCGAGCCTTTTGTGTAGCTGCATATGTAGTGGTAGAATGTAAACGCGCACAAATTGCACAAACTCCCTCGTGCACAGCTCTGCACTGAACCGAACGTCCCATGCCGAAACGGTTCGGTACAAATACTTGTACTGTTACACCCCTGGAAACTATCAAATGGTCATAATTGTTGATCAGCCAAACATAACAGAACGCTACAATGGCATGTAAATGAAGAAAACTGGGACATTCTCTCATTTTTCTTACATTTTGTCAGACTTTGTACTGCGAACAGAGCCCACCTGAAGTTGTACTCGCATGTTTCCAAACATCTTCCTGGTTTGTGACGTAAGCGTGAATAGAGTCTGTTACCGAGAGAGGGGTGGCAATTTTTCAGTATTTAGTGAATTGGAACCTTTGAACACTTGAGCAGCATGAACACTTACTATTCGGAATGTCGGTCTATCGGGTCGGCAACGTCCATTTAGTTGAAACCTCTACGTTGAACCACTACTGGACGAACGAGTGATTACTTTGTTTAATTGTCCTTGTATTGTATCTTCCAGGAGCCACTATCAAACGCATCCAGCAGCAAACCCACACTTACATCGTGACTCCCAGTCGCGACAAAGAGCCAGTGTTCGAAGTCACCGGAATGCCCGAAAACGTGGACCGCGCCAGGGAAGAAATCGAAGCCCACATCGCCATGAGAACCGGAACCTGTGGCCCGATCGAAACCCCCGGAGCGGACAACAACGACTTCCAGTTCAACGGCACGGATGTCAGCTTCGAGGGTTCCTTGACGCCTCTCGGGCTGGGCGAAGGCGGGTGGCTCCAGGCTGGTACGTCCTCCCCTAATACTGGGTCAATCCTCGCACTGAGCATCGATAACAACCAGCGAATGAAAAGCAATATCAACAATGGCGTAAGGATGTCTTCCACGTACCGAAATGACAGCTCCAGTTCGTTGGGGAGTGGTTCGAGTTCAGCCGATTCTTTCTACAATGGAAACCGCGCTGTGGCAGACTTGAGCCCAACCTGCCTTTTCAATGCCAACTCCAACAATAACAACAACAGTAATGGAAGTTTCTGGTTTGGAGAAGGCGTGCTGCCCGTGGGGTCCGATGATTTGGTAAGCCTCGGGAGCGGAAGTTCGTCCGGATTCGACCCGTTGACCATATCCACAGCTCCGGCGGCGTTCTCACCCGCACAAGGCCAAATATGGAGTCCCTTCATGGACACGCCCACTTTCCAAACTCTGGATACTCGCCAAAGCCAAGTGAGTGAATCTACACTGTGGGAATGGAAGGGTTTGTGTTTATGTCAACTGATACTTTGCGGTGACGTCACACTGGGGATGTTCTCCGTGTATATCTACTGATATTATGTTCAGCAGTTACCATGGTAACACAATGTACACGTTAGAAATTTAATTAATGGCTGTATCATCACTCTGCCTGTAATATTCCAGTATTCAATTACAGTTTTATAGCTCAAAAATACCTAGAAAAACAGGCATTCTGACTGTGAGCGGAGTCACCCCTCCACAGATCTGACCTGTACCTTGGTCTGTAGGGCTGGGTAACATTAAGAAGTTGCCAATATGATACATATGATACATAATATGTAAGCAGCAGAACACAAGAAACTTAGAAAGCTACAGAAGTTGTTCAAAAAACATTCAGGCTTGTTATATATATACAATATATATAAATAATTTTTTTTGTACTGTTAAACTTGGTTTAAGGATACAGTTCAGGGGGACTTTCCAGCTGATTTCCGATACAAGACATAACTCGATACATAGGCCATGATACAATATGTTTTTCGATACAGTGCACTTTAGATTCAACACAGTTCGATACAATATATTTCAAAACAATTTTATACAGTTCAGTAAAAAAAACGAAGGCTAAATCATGGCTCTGATACTAAAAGTCTTTATTAAACCACTAAATACATATGAAAAACACCCATTTTACTCACAATAGTGAAAATGTCGACCGTATCACATAAACAAGTGAACTTTCTCCAAACAAGCAACACTGTTATAGCTCCTTTACAAAAAAATTAAGGGAAAAATCCCGCACACCGTCTTACTTGCAAATTGTGAGATTTATTAGGGCAAAACAGGTTTGCCTGACGAAGGCCTAGTGCCGAAACGTTGCACAGTTTGTCCTAATAAATCTCACAATTTGCAAGTAAGATGGTGTGCGGGATTTTACTATGTTCTTGGGCTGTTCCCTCTCCTCTAATGCACCTGTCTTAATTGATGTGCGAAGTTCTCATTCTTTTACAAAAAAAATGTGTAGATTATACCAAAAAACACTCTTGGTGATATATCAATACAGCAGCCCAGGAAATCAATACTCTATCGTCAAATTAAATAATACGATATATCGATATTTTGATATTTTTGCACACTCCTATTGGTCTGGTTTGATCATCGTGAAGAAGGAAAGGTTTAACATCTCCATGGAGAAAAGCATTTGACAGACCCTCCACCACAAAAGTTACACAATGCACCTTTAACTGTGTGTTTAACTTTAGTCACACGAGCAATGCTTTAATTAACTCCCTGTTCACTCTCTGTTCTTCATCTTTGTGCACAGATGAGTCAGCCTGGCACCCCTCGCCTCTCCCCCACCTTCTCCGGCCCCGAAGCCCTGGAGCACCCTCAGGCCCAGCGGGTGCAGCGTCGCCCCTTCTCAGCCTCGGGAGCCCTGGACGCCCACCGCTTCCCCTCCTGCGGCTCCGCCTTCTCCTCATCCAGCGACAGCACTGCCTCCTCGTCGTCCTCGCCCCCCGCCCTGACCTCCGGGGGCAGCAGGGGGGCGGAGGTGTGCGTCCACTGTCTGGAGAGCCAGGTGATCGCCGCGCTGGTGCCGTGCGGCCATAACCTCTTCTGTCTCGATTGCGCGGCGCAGATTTGCCGAAGCGCCGAAGCGATCTGCCCCGTGTGTCTGTCCCCGGCAACGCAAGCCATCATAGTACGCAACATGTGATTTATTATTTTTATTTTTTAATCTATTAGATCTCAAAGGCACGTTATCGTCTTTCCCCAACAAAGAAAATTGCAAAAAGATCTACTTGAGTTAACATGACTATGACTTCCAAATATTCATCCTTATTTGAGTAGTTTTTACGAATTTCTATTTAGTTTGTTAGTCAAGCTTTTTTGAATTGTTTCAGTCCTGAATTTTGTTTTTTAAAATGCATTTCACCCATTATATTTTTATTTTAATCTTGTTTTATTTTTATGTAGTCAACCCAAAACGAATCAGAGGGTAGGTAAGACAAACAGAAAGTTATTTTTTTTTTACTTTCTGGTTATTACGGTCTTAATATAAACATTTTATTTCAAAATTCACAAAAAATCTGTGAAATGGATTAAGAAAATTGCACTGAAATTGACTAATTTGACTGGAAACAAGAAAAATGGATTGAAACAAATTGAAAAACTACACAAATTAAAGTGAATATTCCGAATTCAGGTCATTTTAACTCAATATTTAGATTTTTTTTGCAGTTTCCAAATACGTAATGGTTAACTAAAGCAGTATTTCATCACCCAGTTGAGTGGGGACTTAAAACTGATCAAGGAATGATATTTATTTAACCCATTCATGTGCCTGCTCTTGTGAAGGTTTCTTCCACAACTGATTGATCAAAGGGAGGGATAGTGGCCCTCTCTGTAGCAACGGGGGGTGGGGCGGGGTATAATGTCTTTATTATTATGGGATTCAATTTGCGTTCAACTCCTTAAAATGTGTAACGAAACTATTTGCCTACCTTTTTTTTTTTTTTTATTTAGGAATCATTTTAAACGCAAATTGCCGCCTCCGGAGTTTAACGTCCTCACGCGCTCACCAGGAAATGTCAAATTTTAAAATGCTTGATTACATGAACTCACTCCAAACCAACTTTTTGTTTTAAGATTTATTTAAAATGTTATAAAAGTAAATTGGAATCACATGCATTGTCATCAGACCTAGTTGAGGCTTTTTTAAGTACTTGTTTTTACGCACCCAATATGAATCAGACAGTGGGTAGGACTTAAACTACAACTCAATTTTATTACTTTCCGATTACTCAATTATTTTTGGAATTTCAGCCCGGATGGATAAGTTGGAAGCGCCCTTGTTTTTACTTGGATAATAACAACGCCACAGATACTTAATTTTGAATAGTTTACAATAAAAGCGTGCCTAATTTCATACTAAAATTAGCTGAATGAAAAGTGTTGCTCTGAATTTAGACTCGTGGCCTTCTTGAAAAGCCTATAATTTAACAAAACTGACCGTAGGAATAACACTTTTCACACACACGCAAAAAAAAAAAAAATCAACATTTCGGTTTGACAGTATTCAGAAATATTCACTCACTCAAATTCACAAGGTAACATTTTTTTATTTTTGTGTGTGTGTGTCTCAAGAAAACACAAAAAAATCTTTGTTAAACTTATTTTATTTGATTTTTGTTTGTTTTTAAAAAATATTTTACTTGAGTTTGAGCCAAAATCAAACATTGCTGGTACTTTTTTAAGCATTCCTCGCGTCAACTGCAAATGACAAAGATGAAAACTTTACAGCCGTCTTCTGTACTGTACAACTGGACTGAGTTTAACTTTATTTTTATTTGCAGAATGAATACACTGCAGCAAAAAAAATAATTATCTGGAGCTGAAATGACTTGACTGAAAATATCTAGAAAATATTTGATCGGATTGGATTTGACAAGTTTAGATTTATTTAACGTTTAACTTGCATGAAGCCATTTCGTTCTTGAAATTCTGTACTTGGCTTTTTTTTTTTTTTTTACCTCACTAACAGATAAGTCAGAAAAATAAAAAAAAATTCTAACTTGAACAAAATAAATCTAAACTAGTCAATACAACTTAATATTTTTAATTTAAGTCATTTTACCTCAGATAATTTTTTTTTTTACAGTGTATTCATTGACCACTGATTTTCAATAACACTGGGATGCAACAACTTAGGATCAAGGCCATTTTTCAAACATTCACAAACTTCTTTTTTAAACTTTTTTCCAATAGGGCCCTATGCAAAACCCATAACATGATCTGTTTCACTGCAGTACTGGTTACTGGTGACGTTAGAATAGAGTAAAAGAATCTGTGTGTCGTTCATTTGTTCGTTTTTTAGTTTAAAACCAAAAAATAAGAAAATGAAAAAACAACAGTTTTCTTCAATATTTGTCTTCAAAACCAAAATGAAAAAACGGATAAGGATTAGTTTTTTTCATTTTTTGATTTTGTGTTTAAATCAATAATGGAGATAAATGTTTCTGTGACTTAAACTTTGCGTCGTAAACGGAGTGAACCAGGACTAAAACAGGTCTAAACCAGGTCTAAAACAGGTCTAAAACAGAATTAGAATTGAACCGAGTCCCCGGTCCGAGTCCCCGGTCCGAGTCCCCGGTCCGAGTCCCCGGTCCGAGTCCCCGGTCCGAGTCCCCGGTCCGAGTCCCCGAGTCCCCGGTCCCAGTCCCCGGTCCCAGTCGCCTGATCACCCGACAGTCTACACGGGCGCACCTTCAGGCCATTCTCGATTTAATCCTGGATTAATCCTGGTTTAATCCTGGTTTAATCCTGGTTTAATCCTGGATTAATCCTGGTTTAATCCTGGTTTGGGACTGGGACTGGGACTGGGACAGGGACCGACACCGGAAGCAGACCAGGACAAGAGGACTGAGACGGGGACCGGATCGAGACTGAGATTAGGACTGAGACCCTTTTAGACCTGTTTTAGACCTATTTTAAACCTTGATTAGACCTTGTTCAGTCTTGGTTCAGTCTTGGTTCAGTCTTGGTTCAATCTTGGTTCAGTCTTGGTTCATCTTGGTTCAGTTTAAGTCATGTAAACGGGAAACAGCCATTATCCGTTTCACCCATTATTCATTTAAACACAAAATCGAAAAATTTTAAAATGAATCATTATCATAATTTTTCATTTTGGTTTTGGAGACAAATAATGAAGAAAACTGTGTTTTTTTTCATTTTCTTATTTTTGGTTTTATTTTGAAAAACTAACGAATGATACACAGATTTAAAAACAATCCAGTGCTTTAGGAATCGATTTTAGGCTTATAGTAATGGAGCTCAATGGACATTTTTGGTTCCTCAGGTCAAATCCTCTTCATTTTTTTTCCATAAACTTTGAAAAAATTGTACAAAAAATGTGAAAAATTGATTGAGGTTGTATTTGCTATAGGGATAACTCAGTACAATAAGATGCAAAGTTTTATTAGAAACCTAGTCGTGAAATTGTTGATACTGCAAAATCATAAAGGCATAATCAAAATTTTTGTCTTAATTAAGCTTTTTTAAATTTTTTTTGCTTGAATTAAAAGTATTTAGTCAGTTACCTTGTTGATAACTGGCACACACACAGTTTCTATTAAGTCTTTATGAAAAGAAAACGAACAGGAACTTTATTTCTGGAACCAATTTTACCAGGCTACTGTTGCTTTCCATTGGGGACCGTTTACCGGACCGATATCGAAAGTTTGTATCGTGGTTTTTTGTTTTTGTTTTTTTTAAATCTATCTACAGTTTAAGCACAGATTTGCCGTACCTACTGATAACCTGTGACTTGATTTAGTTCTGTCCTGTTGATTTTACAATAGCATGGTGTTATTGGTACAGCTTTGCAGACTCATCTCTCATCATAGCTTTAAATGTGTTTTCGTACTTGAGTGGAGGGACGTGTGAAGCAGATTGAACACTACACAAGGTCAATAGAGCTGATGCTTTACTGGTTTGGACATTGGACCGTACACTGCAGAGGGGAAAAAAAAAAAAGAGTTAAAATGGCTGAAACTCAAAATATAAGTCTTGTTTTGACTAATTTTGTTCAGTTCAGGTTAATTTCGTTCATTTAAATTTGTGTATCATTCGTTCATTCATTTTACAATATAAAACCAAAAATAAGAAAATGAAAAAAGCAGCTATTTTCTTTATTATTTGTTGCCAAAACCAAAATGAAAAGGCGCATAATGATTCGTTTTTTTTCAGTTTTCGATTTTGTGTTTAATTGAATAATGATAAAAATAGATAACCGTCGTTTTCGTTTTTCGTGACTTAAAATGCAATGTCAGACTAAGCCAGGACTGAAACCAGGACTGAAACCGGACCGAACCAGGACCGAACTAGGACGAAGCCAAGACTGAGCCAGGACTGAGCCAAGACTGAACCAGGACGAAAAAAGGACTGAACCAGGACGAAAAAAGGACTGAACCAGGACGAAAAAAGGACTGAACCAGGACGAAAAAAGGACTGAACCAGGACTAAACCGGTTTAGTCTGGTCCCGGTCCCGGTCTCGGTCCCGATCAACCGACAGTATATGTGGGCACGTTCTGACACTCAGTAGTGGTTTAGACCTAGTTCAGTCCTGGTTCAGTCCTTGTTCAGTCCATATACAGGGCAAAAGTCTGTCAGGAAACATTATTCCTTTTTAAATACAAAATCAAAATCTGAATATACAAATCATCTGTTTTTTCATTTTGATTTTAGAGACAAATAATGAAGAAAATAGCTGTTTTGTTCATTTTCTTATTTTTGTTTTTATTTTGAAAAATGAATGAACGAATGAAACACGGATTCATCTAGAGCAGGGATCTCCAACCTGTAGCTCTGCAAGGGAATTCAGAATTCTACATATTGTGCTGAATAACTCAAATTACCAACATTTTTACAACTTTTACAACTACAGTTACTGTTTTTACGACCTCTAAAACCGGAAACTCTCTTGCATTTTCGTTTTTGTAAAGAAGAACAAGGTTGGAGATCCCTGATCTAGAGTATTGGACTATTTCAGTATCTCTACATTTAAAAATTTCCAACTTTAATTGTCATAACAATCATTGCTCCAATCAACTACCAAAATACAAAAAGATAATTTCATTTGGTTGTGAATGATACGGCCTGTCAAAACCTGGAGTAAAACATAAACATAAACTGATAAACCAACAAAATTTAGAGACGCACCAATGCTGATACTGAAGAAACAGCTGGATCGAGTATCGGTCCTGTGATATCGATTAATCTGATACACTGATTGGACCTTTAATTGGATGTAATAAGATTTTTCGCAGGCTGATTTTGACCTAGAAAGTCTCAGAATGTTTGAACTTTTCTTCACCTGAGCCTGTTCTGTTGTGATGTGAAGGATCAATAACCATTTCAAAACACAAGTGGATCTTTTGTGTAATAAGTAACTTGTTTTTTAAGGAAATAACTGCCATTTTCAGTCTCTTTCTATCGGTATTGATTGATTAAATCAACACATACTTGGTCAAAATATCAATGTCGGTATCGTAATGTCTCGAGAACACGTTTTTGACAGTTCACTTCTAACTAGATAAGTAATAAAATGGTGTAAAATTAGCTTAAGTTAAAAATGTTAGAAAAGTAGAAATGTCCTAAACTAAATCAACTTAAATGAGTCAAAACTACTAAAAATCAAGATAATATTCTGATTTCAACTCATTTTAACATGATTCTTCTGGATTTGCAGTGTAGTAAACAGTATTTTGGCGACTGCTACGTCGCGTTTTTTAGTGTCTTGGCATCAAAGTTGAACCAAATAAGTTTCAAAAGTGCAAAAAAAACTAACAACTTTGTACTTCAATCCGTCCGTTTTATTATTTTTATTTGTACAGCTTTGAAGGGTCGATTACTTTTGCTAGTTTTTCCCTTTTCTGGCGGAGGGAATGCAATACACTGTTGGCCTACAATTTCTTTACATTTTTGTGTATGTATTATAAGATTACTGTTATTAATGACTGAGAATACAGAACTATTTAGTTTACTTATTTTGTTACATTTCATATATATACATAAATATATCTATATTAAAATGTTTACAATAAGATTTTTAATTTTTTTACTTAAAAGTGTGATTAAGTGAATGAAGAGTTTGCCTAAAACGGTTCAGAAGGGGGTCAGTGCTCTTTGCTTGTAGTCTATAGTTCTTAGTTTACAGTATTGATTAAAATAATAATAGTATTGATAGTTGCAGTTAAATTTAAAACTGGGGTATCTGATTTTCAAATTGTTAAAAGAGGAGTGCAAGTATTTAAATCCATCTTAAAGGCGCTCTGTACCTGGTGTTTAATGTGAAAAACGATTCATTTTGCAAGTTTTTCCTCACTTACCTTATGAGAATTTGTTTGTTTATTATTCTGAGCAGGGCCGTTGACAGAAATTTGGGGGCCCGGGGCAAGAAGACTCACATGGGCCCCCCTTCCCTCTAATATTAATTAATGAACAAAGGTTCCAATTCGGGGCCTCTAACAGAAACTTTCATGCCGTTATGGTGAAAGTAACGACAACTGAAAACAAAAAATGCACACCAATGTTCTTGCAGAGGTAAAAATGCACAGTGCACTCTAAATGGTTGATGTCCAAAAGCTTTTTTTACCCTAAAATAACATTTTGGCGAAAAAAGCCCTCGCTAGATCACCCCACCTTGGACCACAGTATACCTAAAGGGAACAACAACTAGAGTCTGTGTATCAATCGTTCGTTTTTCAATACAACGAAAAAACAACAATTTTCTTCATTACTTGTCTCCAAAATCAAAATGAAAAAAACGGGTACCGATTAGTTTTTTCAGTTTTCGATTTTGTGTTTAAATGAATAATAAAATAAACAGATAAAAGCCATTTTTCATTTCCGTGACTTAAACTGTGATGTCAGACTTTCTGAACTAGGACTGAACTAGGTCTAAACCAGGTCTAAACCAGGACTGAACCAGGACTGAACCAGGACTGAACCAGGACTGAACCAGGACTGAACCAGGACTGAACCAGGAGTATCGGAACAGGCCCGGAGGTTCACCGGTGTAGACTGTCGGGTGATCAGGACCAGGGCAAAGACCGGTAACGAGACCAGGACCAGGGCTGGGACTGAGAACAGTTTAGTTCTGGTTTAGTCCTGGTTTAGTCCTGGTATATTCCTGGTTTAGGCCTCGGTTAGGCCTGTTTTAGTCTTGTTTTAGTCCTGGTTCAGTCCTGGTTTAGACCTGGTTTAGACCTGGTTTAGACCTGGTTTAGACCTGGTTTAGTCCTGGTTTAGTAGTCCTGGTTCAGTTCTGTTTGTCCTGGTTCAGTCCAGTGTCACAGTTTAAGTCACGGGACTAAACAGGAAACAGCTGTTATCCGTTTTTTTTTTTTCATTCATTTAAACCCAAAATCGAAAACTGAAAAAACAAATCATTATCCGTTTTTTCATTTTGGTTTTGGAGACAAATAATGAAGAAAACGGTTGCTTTTTCGTTTTCTTATTTTTGTTTTTATATTGAAAAACAAATGAACAAATGATACACGGGTTAAGTAGCATACTAACGCGCACTCCCTGATTATCAAACAACACGTCGGAATTAATACAAACACAAATTCACAGCGAAAAAAATCAGGTACTGAGCCTTTAACTTGTCCGTAGCTCTCAAAATTGAACAAAATATAACCAAAATGACACTTTGAGACGTCGTAGTATTAAAAAAGCAGTGCCACAAATTATTTACCGCAAAATTTTAAAATCTAAATCAGAAATTCTGCCATCTAATTACTTAAAATCGATCCAGAATTCATCTTTTGGCAACTGTCTGGTCCCTCTCTTAACCTCAGAATAATCAAACTTTCCTCTGAGTTTTTGCGATCAATAAACTGAACTTGACGAGACGTTTTTATTCTTTTACACGAGAAAAATCAGGTACCCCACTTTTAATCGAAAACGGAATGTGCATGTACAGCAAAATGTTAAGAATTCTCATTGCAATTGTAAAAAGGCCAAGGATACGAGCTGCCTGTTCATGTCTGTACTCTACCAAACGAGAGCGGTATAATATTGTAACATGTAACGTAGAAATCTATATAAATGCATATATATTGATCAGTAGGCTGTATGAACAGTTCAAAGTATTTGCTAATTTTACTACATTTTGTTTTGTATATGTAGGAGAGTCTTATGGCATATATACATTCAAATTGAGTCTGGAGTTTAAAAGCAACTATATTTTATAATGGCCTTTTAAGTTATTGCGGCCAAAGCACTGATATTATATATTTGCTGTAAAGAGAATTTAAAGAGTTTTATTTTTCTGATATTAAAGTTACTTAATAAAGACGGTTTCATTTAAAGCCAAACTTGTCTTGTCATTTATTTATTTAAAACGTTGTTGATTTTGGGAGCTTTAAGGTAATTAAAATCACAACTGGACCGGAGTTGACAGAGTCTAAACCTGCAGATGGAGACACATAAAAGTTTGTCTCATTCTCAGTTTAAGGACTCAGGCCTCATGCGAAAACTCAGAACCTCCAGAACAGGGATGGGCATTCGATATCACTTTTATCACCAGTCAAATAGATGACTGTAATGCCCTGCTCTCTGGTCTTCCCAAAAAGAGAGTTTCAGGTTTGCAATTATCACCCCAGAGGGCGGGACCACATTACACCGGTTTTAAAATCACTGCATTGGCTCCCTGTGAGTTTCAGGATCGATTTTTAAAGTTATTTTACTGGTTTTTAAATGTCTTAATGGTCTTGGGCCTTCTTATCTTTCAGAACTGCTTTTACCTTACGAACCCTCGCAGACCCTGCGCTCCTCCGGCAGCAGCTCCTGGTCATTCACAAAGTCAGGACACACACTCACGGAGAGGCGTCTTTCCAATACTACGGCCCCCGTCTATGGAACTGTCTGCTGGAGGAGCTCAGGGCTGCAGAGAACGTTCATGTTTTTAAGAGCAGGCTCAAGACCCACCTTTTTAGCTTAGCTTTTGATTGAAATTCTTATACTTTTACTTGTTTCTAGTGTGTATATTTTATTATATTTATTTATTTTAGGCATATTTTTAGGATTTCCAGTGTTTCCTCTGTAGAGCCTCTGCATCAGGAGCAGAGTTCGGCTGCGGCCGCTGGGTCTGTCCCGTGGGCTCCTGGGGGAGAGTTGGTGTTTGGGCTTCATCTCTCCCCTGGCTCCTGTGGTGGTTCCTGGTGATGGTGGACGACTCTCTGCTCCTGGTATAGACGGCTCCTCTGATGGTGCTTTCTCAACTGGTTCGCCTGTATTCAGCCTCACATCTTACTATGTGTCGTTTTATGTATTTTACCGTGTTTATGTGTGTGTGTGTGTGCGTGTTTGGGTTGTCTGGTTGTGTGGGGTTGGGTTGGTGGGTGGGTGGATGGAAATGTGGGATTGTTTTTAATCACTGTAAAGCATTTTGTGTTACAGCTTTGTATGAAAAGCGTTTTATAAATAAAGTTTGATCAAATTTTCGTAATCAAATGTTGGGAGAATTAATAATTTGAATATAAAACATTAATGATTAATTGAAAATGTATCATTATCATTACTATCATCATTATTATTACTAATCTGCATAAGTAAACTCAACTTTACAACATATAAACCATAACCACTATAGAGCCACATCAGCCCGTTTGAGATTATAATGGGTTTAATGCAGCTTTGACATGTTTGTTTACACTTTACACAAACTTAAAACCACATGGCTCATTTGCATAAACTAAAAGTGCTGTCATTTCCCTCTATTTATTTTGGCTACTGCTGTGATGAAAAGACTGAAATGTGTTTCTTTTGCTACAATAACATGTAGATGAAGAAAACTGGGCCTGGGAAGTTGTCATCGCATCTTTCCAAACATCTTCCTGGTTTGAATAGAGCATATTATAACAAATAATCTGCACATCACGCCCAATGTTTGTGTAATTACCTGGTCCCCGAAGAGTTGACCAGGTTTTCTATTCACCCTGTGTGTCTGTCCACCTGCGATAATTCCGCCATTTATGAACCGATTGTCACCAAATTTGGTACATGGATCAAGCCCCCGTGCCTGATGTTGCAAAAACAGTTTGGTGATGATCCAAGGTCATTTGAGGTCACACGGGTCAATTGAAAGGTCACACCATTATAAAGGATTGGCAATTTCCGCAATTTTTGAACCATCTGCGAGCTAAAATATTCATCCAATCATCACACAAGTTGGCACACACATAACTGGGGTATGGGCTGGGCTCCTCATAAGCTGCTTCTGTGGTGATGAACTTCCCCCACCAATGCCTCACGGGGGACCAGGCTGCTGTCTCTGATTGTGCTTGTTAACAATTGTAATACACATTTATTCTTATCACTAAAACATATATGATGTATTTACCTTCTGGCAGGGTTCCCACACTTATGGAAATCCTGGAAAAGTCATGGAATTTTTGTATCTCTTTGACACAACTACATCGTTCTCTTAAGTTATCATTAGGCTACTATGATTATTTCTGAACGTTTGCGCCTTTTGTTTAAAAGAGACGACAATAAATGTATTGAAGTATTTTGAATGTTAAAAAAATATAAAACCAAACCATAAGGTGAGTGGAAAGGGTTAACATTTCATATTTAGCTCTAAAAGTCTAATCAATTCATAACATGTAGGTGCCGTAAAGTCATGGAAAATTCACTTTAGGTCATGAAAAAGTTTTGAAATTTTGTCAGTGAAAGAGAGAATAAACCAAGATCTGGGGACTAGGGCTGGGTATCGTTAAGGAGTTGCCGATATGATACATTTCTCGATACAGTGAGCTTTCGATTTGATTCGATATATTTCAAATTGATTCGATATGGTTCAATAAAAAATAAAGGTTAAATCATGGCTGTAATACTAAAAGTCTTTGTTAAACCACTTCTTGTGCAAAGTTAAAATGAAACACAAACATTTTAATCATCAACACAGTGAAAATGTCAAATGTGTCGCATAAACAAGTTTTCTTTCTCCAAACAAGCAACAAAATAATTTACTAAAATGTATCAAAAAATATTCTTGGTGATATATTGATACAGCAGCCCACGATATTGATTCTGTGTCATCACATTAAACGATACGATATATTGATATTTCGATATTTTTGCACACTCCTACTGAGGACACAGGTCATACAGGTCGTTTTAAAGATGATTTTTTTGCACTCATCAGGAAAGTTACAGTGTTTACTCTTTAGTATTTAAACGTGCAGTAATTTAGAATAAATGTGGAAATGGATTTTCTTTTTTTAATCGTATCAGTAAAACAAAAGTGATTTTAATGTTTATGATCTTTGAGATGATGGAAAAACACACTCACAGTATAAATAAACAATAATAACAATAATGTCCATGTCAGTGTTTAATTAAAACCAGTTTCCATTCTTAGTGCCCAAAAGAAATAAGTGCTTTCCTGTACGCTGAGAGCACAGGTCAAATACAGTAGAAACCATTGCATTGCATTTAAAAGGTGCTCTGTCTAACTTTTCTGGTTGTCTCAATTATTTACTTTGCCTGAAATGTTCCCCAGTGTAGCATTAAACTAATCCAGCATCAACTTAGTCAATTAAACTAACCTGTAACAATCTGGTGGCATCGCTTTCCTCTCGTTTAAGGCCAAAGTGTGAAATATTTCAAGTAAAACAATAAGATTTCCAGACCCTGAACCAGAAAAGTTCCACAGTGCACTTCATCAAACTTCGTCAAAGCTCCACTCGATGCGCTGGGCCCAGTTATCGTTCTAATGTAACAATGTAAAATGCTTAGAAAGTAACAGATCCAGTTGTTGCATAATATCAAAGTCCATCAAACTTTATACAAACAGTTAAAATATTCCTAAATCATTCAAGAAATTAAACTCTCCCAACACTGCAGAAATAACAAGGGTTCAAAATGGCTTTAATTTCGAATATTAATCTTGTTTTGAGCAGTTTTGACGTGTCGGAAATCAAATTGCAATCAAATTTATTTAAATGGAATCAAATTTAAATCGCAATTTCAATGGACGATATTAGCAAATCGTAAAAGCTGCAATTTTGAAGAACGATAATTTACTAAACAACAAAATTTCTTGTCTTTAGGGCTGGGTATCGTTAAGAAGTTGCTGATACGATACATATTTCGATACACTGCACTTTCGATTCGATACGATATATTTCAAATTCGATACTGTTATTAATAAAAAATAAAGGCTAAATCGTGTCTGTGATACTAAAACTCTTTGTTAAACCTCTTCTTGGGCAAAGTTAATATGAAACACAAACATTGTAATCCTCAAAACAGTGAAAATGTCAAATGTGATGTATAAATAAGTTTCCTTCCGCTCAAGAAGCAACAAAACTGTAGCACTGTAACAAAATAATTTAGTAAAATATACCCAAAATACTCTTGGTGATATATCGATACTGTATCATCACATTAAACAATACGATATATTGATTTTTTGCACACCCCTACTTGTCTTGTTCTGTCTAAAAACTGCTAATTCTCTAGTTTACGTCCGTGTTCTGAAAAAAAGTCTATGCAGTTATTCGAATTTTGATCACAATCTCCAAACTCATAATCGAGTTGAAACGATTTAGCTTCACAAAGTTTATTTTGGGATATTTTATATAAATAAGTATAATTATTTTAGAACAGCTGGATATATGTTTATTTTGGATACATTTATGTTTTTCTTTGCCTTATTTCATGTTCAAGGTATTTTTTTTTAATTAATTTTACGTTTTACACATTGCAAAACTGCTCTAAGGTTCATATTTGTAGTCTATAGTTATTCTCAATTTGAAAGTTTTGGATAAATTATCAACAACTATTTTTGAGAAATGATCATTTGAATAATCGTGATTTCGGTATTGACCAAAATAATCGTGATAATGATTTTTTTCCATAATCGAGCAGCTGTATTCTGCAATGTGAGTCTGGTTTTAGTTTGTTAGTTCACATTGCATGGTTTTTATTTTGTGTTTCTGTATTTAAAATGTAAACTTCAAACAAAATCTTATTATTAAAACTCACAAAATCACAAACCTGATCGTTAAATGTTTTTTTCCAAATCGCTCAGCCCTCATGGTACTTGGTATAAAGTTTGAAAACGTATCTGGAACGATAAAATGCTCAAAACAAGATCAATATTCTGAATTCAAATCATTTTAACCCATTTAGAAAACAGTTCCAGCAGTGTAAACCCCAACAGCAGTCACTGGTTTAACGTTTTCCAGCCTGAGGCCCTGCTCAGTCTAAAGGCTGTGGGTCTGCGATGGGCATAGTGTGCAGGACCTCGTCGAGCAGCTGCAGCGCTCGGTGGAGGTGAATCTCGATCCAGCATGGCGTCTCTTTGATGCTCTGGCGAGGATAGTCCGGTCCCCAGCCTTTCACAAAACTCATCCTGAGAATACACAGTCTGCGCAGGTCGTCCACGCCGATACCGGCCGCTGCAGACAGACCTGTGGAAAAAATAACACATTTATGTTTAATTAGAAAGAGGTGGATGACTTGGAACTTCCTAACATGTTGATGATACATTAAAATACACTTGATAAACCCGTAACCAGATCCTGAATGTTTATAGAGAGCAAACATTTTCCTCCATTCTGTAATTTCAAGTGTACAATCTGATTTTTTCACCCCTATGCTCCTGTATCTCATCTTTTAATGACAGTCTGAACGAAACAGGTTCTATTTTTTCAAATGTGACCCAGGCCACTTGGATATGTGCTCCTAAAACCGATACATATCTGATCTTTTGACATGTGACTTCAGTCTCAACGGTCAGGTCACATTCATCTCACATAAACATCATCAACAAGCAGCAAACGTCATTATTCTACGCTGAAGTGAAGTGGAAACTGGAAGAAAGTGCTCACAAATGTACACAAACATTCTTCTCGTCATACAAAAATTCTGTATGAACTCTGTGTGAGTGAAGCAGAGAAGCACGTCAATCCCACCACTTCTTGGCTGCGACTCCGCACCCACACGTTCCTTTCTACGGACGTTGCTGCCACTGCCCCACAAAATATCAGGGCCAAAAACCTCGTCCTTCTCCTTCTCATTCACCTCCTTAAAACAAATAATCTGTATATGTTCCGGCTCCGGTACGACAGCAACTTTAAAATCTCTAGGTGACGTCGTTGTGTCACCAGTGCGCAAGCGGGACACTTTTGGGGCGTTTAAAGTTCACACTGGAGATCACATACAAATCGCATTTAATTGGAAATGTGAACGACTTTGTAAAAAAAAAACAAAAAAAACAGATTTCACAAAAAAATCCAAACTGAGCATTAAGCCCTGCAGTCTGAACGTAGCCATGATGAGATTTCAATGAAATCCCGATTTAAGCAGACGATAACGATTCAACTGCATGCAAGTGAGAGCCTGGTTAAAATATTAACAAATAATTTTATATGAATAACTGTATGTAATTTGTTTATTTAAGAGATTGATTGAAACAGTTTGCTGCACAAATACAAAATACTAACAATATATTTTTATAGTGCACACTCAGATTTCCATATCATATACCACCAAAAAAATCAACTTTTTGCAACTTTTTCTTATAATATTTCTCTATATTTTAATAAAGGAGCAAACCAAAAGCAAAAAAACACCTACAACTATTCATTTGTATCGGTTAGTCATGTATTTTGGTCCACTTAACTTTTGTTTTAAATGACTGAGTAACAGAACATTGATGAAGACAAACATGTAAAAGTGACAAATCTTCACAAAGTGAATCAAAGTTATGTAAAAAAACCTGAATTATAAATGACCCGTCCTGTAATATTGCCTCAGACCTTTTTTGACCGTTTTACTCTTTCACAATAAGTTTTTATACTAAGCATCTTCAAAGTTTGTTAACTATAAATCTTTTTGTAAACCTGGTTCATACTTATAGCTGGTGCGATGCCTCCCACAGACCCTGGTCCTGGGATGTTTCCGGCCACAGCAGCCGCCTGAGCTGCTGCAGCCGCCTGAGCTGTGGCCGCCTGCTGCTGCATCTGTCTGTGGCACTGACGCAGGTCAAACACCTGGAACCCAGAAGCACAGGGAGGTTATGTTAGTCAGTTTATATCAAGTGGAGATTTTTGCTCAAATAACATAATGAAAATTAAGAAACAAGAGATGACTAAACAGTAACTAAAAGTACAGATATTTTTGTCAACTAATACAAATTTAACAAAAAAGAAAAGGAAGTGAAACTAAATCCATGCACAAGGCACTCAAAGCAGTTCAAAGAACCACTCACCCATTCACACACATGTGCCACGTTTACATGAGAGCTTTATTTCCAAATAAAAATAATTTATTTCTGAATAAAAATTAATTTTGCTTTAAAAAGACCATGTAAACACTTAATTCCTAACGAAAACGATTATTCGGAATTAAACTTAATTCTGAAGTGAGTGGGTGGTTTAATTTTGAAGATGAATTAATTTATTCCTGGCCACTGGGATGGCCACAAATAATCTCCAATTGTAATTATAGCAAGCAAATAATGTTTAAGGCTATAAAAGATAATTGAACCTTTCTAGCAGGTGGAAAAGTCCTTAAGAGCCACAAAAATGACCCGTGAGAGCTCATTTTCAAAAACTCCATTTGAAATGAAGGAAGTTAATAGTAGATGTTTTTATTATTTTAAACTAATCAGAATATGCCAAAGGTTCTCTAAAAAAATTTATCAACATCTAACTGTGCCCACATGGGAAACTGAGGGTCCAAAGAAGGGCCCAAAAAGGTCACATTTGGTCTGTGATCATATTTGGGGCTCTACACCGTCCACAGGAAAACTCAGAAAAGTGTGAGGTCATTGTCAGAAATGGTCATTCTCTCAAATATTCAGGTTCAACAGTTAGTTTGTAAATATCTGCTTGGAGTAAATAGATCTTGGATCTCAAAAAAACAAAAAAAAAACAGCACCCCCTTAATAAAGATACCCAATATCTGACAACAGATTTAGAATCTATGACCCTGAATCTACAATAATACACATTTTCAGCTTCCTAGCTCTATTTTTTATGAAGTTATGGTCTCTCAAAAATGCTTAAAATTAAGGTGTCCAAAAGTGGCCATGGCTCCAAAATTTCAACGGGCCAAAAGTCAGGAACGACTGAAGGGACTGAGCTAAAAATTTAGATTCTTTCATTTGGTAATTTAAAAAAGAATTAGTTTTTTTCCCCAGCCAAATCTGAGATCATCATCTCATTGGGGACATTCCTTGAAAACGGCTGATTTCGGAATTTAAAAAAAATATGTAAACATGGCCATTCATACACAAGTGTACACAAACCCTGGAGGTAAGTATATTGCCCAGGGATGCAACAACAGCATTTATCTGTAGGAGCTTGAATTCTCTTATTCTTATTGTATTCCTAAATCACAGAGGCCCAAACCAGACTATAAACAAACTCAGTGTCCAGATAAATGTATATTTTTTTTATATTTATTTATTCTATTTTCTTTATATTTTATACCAACATGTTTTAGAAGATCCAAATTTCTAGTTGTACTAGAACACAAAGTCTTCTAAATAAAGCATGACCTTTCTTCCACAAAAATTTCAAACCTTTCTTAAATAGATACTAGACTAAAACATATCTCAGTGACTAAACAAAGACAAAAATGCAATGTCACAGAAATCAGTGCTGACCTTTATGTATGCGCTGGGGTAGATCTTGTGCACTGCGTCTCCCGGGGCTCTTCCTGCTTCTCTGTCGAGGTAATAACTCTGCACAAACACGGCGTGATCACTGAGACATCGCACCCACACGTCCCCCTCGCCCTTACACTCCAGCTGCACCCCTTTACCGATGTGCAGCCTGAGGAGAGACACAAGAACATACAATTATAAAAGATTTAGATTTAATTAGGATATACCTGGAGAGACAAGAGGGACATTTGAAACAGAAGACAGAGGTTCAGTACTGGCATGTAGCTCTACAACTGCTACCACTTGAACTAGAATATATAATAGATGTAACAATATCCTAATCTCACGGTACAATATTATCACGATTTGCATCTCACGGTATGATAATTGTTGCAATATTTTGGAGAGGCTGATATAATTGTAGATAGGACACATTTTTGCTTTTAAAATACCTTGACAAGATTTTGGTGTGAATTATTTCCATCATAATCCAAAGAAATAAAGTAAAAAACATATTTCTTCATGTTGTCTGTGCTGAAATGCATCATGGTATATGTAGTTTCCGATGTTCATAAGCTGTTGCTACAGTAAAACCATGCACTTAAAACCACTGTCACACCTTGACGATCTAGTCAGCGTTTGCCGACGTATGAAAAATTTGGCAAATACGCTGGCGTACGTCGGATAAGTTCTAGGTAAGTATTGTATAAGTTCTGAGCATGCTGAAGCACGCTGGCATACAGCAAGGTCGTCAAAAATTTTGAGCATGCTGAAAATTTCTCGACGTATGTCAGCGTATGTTTATACGTCCTGCATACGTGGGCCATAAGTTGCAGGTAAGTTATACGATCGTTGACACACGTTAATTGTAAGTTTCTCATAAGTCCAAATACGTTGAGAAAATGTCTAGCGTACCCATGATTTATGAGTAACGTGTTTTGAACCTATGTGTAACTTATATCAAACTTATCTCCAGCACTACAACAATGATGATGAATGGTCAGAAAATTTTATTTTAAAAAATTTAAGTTTTGGACCTTTGATTTTTCACACTAAGTTCAGCCCAAATACTACACATGAAATCAACACAATCTGATCCCCCCACACATCCTGGATCTTATTCTTTGCTCTTAGTTAATTTTATATGTTGTTTATATGTTTTATAGATGTATCAGATTGGGATTCGGTATCAGCAGATACTCAAAATCAAATGACTCGGACTCGGACTCTGATCAGGTGATTGGGATATTCCTGATTGGATATATTGTGACAGCCCATGATATTATTGTGAGACTTTTGAGGATACGATATCACGATATTTTGGTTATTGTTACATCCCTAAAAATAGCGTTGCAGAAAGTATCAAAAATAAGATACTAATCGATAGTAAAACTAGTATTGAAATAAGATATTCAGCAAAAAAAACAAAAACATGACTGGACTGGATAAAATTTGACCAGTTTCAACTTGGGTTTTGTCAGACAACATGATATAATAAACAAATACTATTAATATTGTCTAAAAAGAGCTTTTAAAATTATGATTTGGGTATCAAGGAGTATAATCTTTAGTACTGAAAGTAAGTTTGAAATGTTACGATTATGACCAATACATAAAAAACAGAAGTAAATAAAAGTTTTGTAGCATTTCCTCAGGTTCTAGCCAAGTTAAAACCTGCAAATCAATCAACTATCCAATAAAAGCGTTCAGCTGTTGCACAAAAACAAATAATATTTCCTCGCCGTACCGTGCTCTCTCTATGGCCTCGGTGCGGTGGACGTTGCTGAGCTGCCCTAAACAGAAGCGGTCTCCTCCAGAAGGATCCACGTACCCGTCCACGGTCACGATATGACACGAGGAGGGCACTTTGAACGTCTCTCCGACCTGGACGTCCATCTCAAAGTACGCGATGGAGCACCAGTAATCAGGGGCTAAAGACGAGAGGAAGAAGAAAAGTAAAAACAGAGGAAATGGTGGTTTTCAGTTTCTAGGACGTGATGATGACAAACCAGATTTCCCTGTTGATCACGTTGTACTTTGACATGAAATATCTAAAAGGTAAATTCACAAATGTTTAACCTGATGATTTCTGTCTTCATGTATTGCAACAAACACCTGGATTTTAACAATATTGCTGTTAGTTGCTGCTGTTTTTCTAAAATTTCTAAACTTTTCCATGACTTTTTCATGATAAAAAGTGAATTTTCCATGACTTCACGGCACCTTACACGTGTAGAATTTAGCATACTTTTTAGTTTTTATTATTATTTTATTCATGAAGTATAAAACGAAAGCTTCACAACATCAGACATACAAGAAATGAATGAAAAGGAGCAGAAAGAAAAGTAATCTTACGCTATCTGCAGATTTGGGAAGGTTACTTTTAAAATGTAATCCCCTACAGATTACAGATTACATACCTCAGAATGTAGTTTGTAACGTAATCCATTAAATTACTTAAAGTGAGTAACGTAATCTGAATACTTTGGATTACTTGGTTTGCTGTAGAGAAGTAGAGATGAGGAAATTGTAACATAAGATGTTTTGTCTGATAAAAGAAAATGAAATGCCTAATGTTTACTCAACCAAATTAAAAATATTATTGATAGAAGAGGAGAAGACACGGTCCGCACAGCATGATTTATAAAATAAGGATTTATATGCGGTTCTTAGAGGCTTTTTTAAACTGTAGCTTCCTCTCAGTTTTCACAAAGTTTGTTGCGATGTCGGACGAGAATCCACGACTGGTTCACCGCAAAAGAAAGTCCGTTTTTGAGGTCGCTGAAAGAAGAAGAGAAGGAGAAAAGGAGCGAAGACAAACAGAGGTGATTCTTGGAGATTTCTTCCAGCGATTGCGCAAATGAAGCAGACAAAGGGTCTTAAAACAGACGCGTCGGTCGCTAAATTATTTCTCAACGGTAATTCTGGACGTGCACCGGATGTAAACAAGCGTGATTTCTAGAGTAAAGAGGCGGGAGGGAGTGGTGGAGGAGGAAGGTGGTGTCACACATGCGCAACATTTGAAAAAGAAGTGTCGCTGTATTTCTCTTTCCTTAAAAAATCCTCTATATAACCTTAAAGCTATAACATCTCCATGGGACAAGCTGTTGGCAGACCCTCCTTCAGGAAAGTGCACAGTGGACCTTTAAAGTGCGACATCAAAGTGTTGTTACCTGGATGGTTGGAGATCGGAGGCTGAAAGGCGAGTTCATTATGTACTGGCCCTAGACAAAGAAAACATAGATGAGACAATTGGTTCATTTGACATAAAGCACTTGAAAATGTACTGTATTTAGCATTTTTATTTCATGTGTCTCCAGATAAGAGGGAGACATGGTTAAATCAAATATAGAGGTTACCAATACCCATTGTAATGCTGACATATTCTATGACAAAATATTGGACATTTTGGTGTTTCGGTTCTCAAGACAGTCATGTTAATTAAATCTAAAAGACCTCTCTCTGATCTGAACGGTCACTATCTAAACCCCAGCACCTGCAATCAGTGCTAGTGCAGCCTCTGCAGCCTTTTACACAAGTCGTGGTCTGTCCATACTGAGAATGAGGAAAACTTGTACGTGCCCTCAGTCTGAAGTTTTAGGCAACACAGGTTCAGTTGTGATTGTAATCCCTTTTGTAACGAGTGAAATCGGCAGCCTGGGCGTTTCAATCAATCAATCAACAACTTTATTAATCCCAAAGGGCAATTCAGTTCACACATCTCTGGTCACGCACAATATATAAATATAAATAATAAAGAAAAAGAAAGACAGACACTAGACGTTCGAACCACAGTGCATCAGGGACACAGTAACAAATTCACTTTCCATTTAAAATCCTTATGGCAGAAGGAATAAAAGATTTGGCGTAGCGGTTAGTCTTTTGCTGTGGGGTGACATAGCGCCTCCCAGAGGGCATTTTCATGAACTGTGAGTGCAGAACATGGTTAGGCTCAGTGTGGCCTTAGTCTTTTGTAAGACCCGATGTCTCCACACAGACGCCAAATCCTCCATCTGAACACCACTGATTTTGCTGCAAACTTTTACAATCTGGTTCAGACTGTTCTTGTCTTTCACAGATAATCCATAAAACCAACAGATAAAAGAAAAGGTCAGCAAACTTTCAATAAAAGAATGATAAAAATTGTTTAAAATATTAGACATTAGACGATACATTAAATGAGCTGAGCTTCTGCATCAAGTGAACCCGCTGCTGTCCTTGTTTGACGATGTGCTCAGTGTTCTTATCAAACCTTAGAGAGGAATCAAACACAGTTCCCAAGTACTTATAAGAGTCGACCATTTCTACAGCTTGCCCCATGGATGGAACTGGCTATTGGGCTGTGGACTTTTTCCCGGAAGTCTACAACCATTTCTTTGGTTTTGGCTACATTTAGGTCCAGGTGGTTATTTCTGTGTGGAGTCTGCATCTTTGCATGGATGGGTTTCCTCCGGGCGCTCCGGTTTCCCCCATCAATCCAAAACATGCTACACAGGTCTCCAGGAAGAACAGCTGATAGCTAAGGTCAATTAAATACAATCAATCAATGAACCTGCCTGGGGACAACATGTGGAAATTAGCACTGGTGCTTCAACCTGGTACAATGCATTTCTCCTTTTAGGGTTAATGTAAATTGTGCACTGTCCCTGTCTAAATATGAAGGCTACGTATGTGTTTAGCGTTGTGGCTGACGTTGCAGATTGGCAGCCTCACTTCCTTTAATCTCCTCAGTAAACTTTATCATAATCTTAACACGTCTGTTGTAAAAGTTCAAGTGTCTTACAGTAGTGTCCTGGGTGAGGCACTGGAGGGTGGTGCTGCAGATGTCCGTTTGAATGATGCGGGATGTTTGGAGGGAAGCTGGAGCTACGAGGCCAAGAGGAACCAGCTCCTGAAGTAAAACAAGGAGTTTAAAAATGTTATGAAATACTCCAATAAACAGAACCCACCTGACCACAGGAAATATGTTCAAATCTAATGTTGATTTCACTGATTGTAACAAATTGTACATCAGATAAAATGTATTTTCAAAATTCAGAAGTTGGTTGAATATTTGTGTTTGGACAACTCTAAAGAGTTCAAAAGTCAAGATTACTAAAATATTTGTGAATGAAGGAAAATGAATGTCCATATGTATAGCATGTGTATGTGTATATATTGACCCGAGATTATATCAAAGTTAAACCTGCACCCGCCCGGACCCGTTAACATTCCACCCGTTACTCACCCCTGCCCGTGATAAACCACACACGAATTAAAAGCATTCTAACTGAAGCATCCATCAGAATATGAATTGAAAAGTTACAACTTTAAGAATTACAATCGTGAAATCAAATGAAATGATTACACTTTCTTCAGTACAACTACAAATTCACAGACATGACTCAACTGTCATCACTTCACAGGAATTATTTACTGAGCAGAAGAAACATTGATCAAGATGCGAGATGCGAGATGCATACGCCACGGACTGAACGAGGACTAACCCAGGACTAACCTAGGACTGAACCAGGATTAAACCAGGACTAAACCAAGACTAACCCAGGACTAACCTAGGACTGATTCCAGGACTGAACCAGGAGGACTAAACTAGGACTAAAACAGGACTAAATCAGAACTGAACCAGGACTAAACCAAAACTGAACCAGGACTCACAGGTCGGGACAGGCGCGGAGATGCGCCCGCGTAGACCGTCGGGTAACTGTGGGCGAAAGAACCGGAGACGAGTTCCATGCTGCTCGGATGTAAGTGGAGACATCGCCCGATCGCACTTTGTAGACACTCCCTCTCTCTTAAGTCCAAGATCAGTCCTGAAGTAGTCCTGATTTAGTCCTGACCCACCCGTGTGTAATCACTACCCGCCTGTTTCAGCAACTATTTGCCCGTACCTGACCTGGTGCAGGACTCTGATGTGGAGCTGGGCAATATGACAATAAAATTATTATTATTTTCCAATTAAAGACACATAAAAAGGACTTTCATTATTAATTTTCTGAGTATAAACAACACAGCTTTTTGGTTGGGGGTCCGTCACCTGCTTGTTTCTATGGATGACTTATTAATGACTATTTATCTTTCTCCAAAGTTTGAACTCTAGTACAGTATATCTTTAAATGTATGACGACAATGACAGTTACCTCCAGAAGCAGCAGCGATGGCAGGGAAAGCGGGAGCAGCAGTGGATGTGGACGCCTCAGAGGGAGTGAGGAGGCTGGGGCTGGAGAAGGGCTCGGGCGGGGGCGCTCTGGAGGAGGAGGGCGGGTGCTGGATGGTCTGCAGACCGTGTCCTGACTCGATGGAGGGGTGACTCTGAGGACCGTCAAAATCATACTCGTCTTTTACAATCCGAGCGGAGCCAGGACCAGAGCCAACGGCGTGTCCGATGGTGAGAGACGACAAGTCTGAGGCACAGGAACGAACAGAGAACACGTGTTAACGTTAGGACTGGAGTCCGCTAGAAACATGTTCTGCCCATCGATTATTTGAATAAAAACGTGGCATGTAAAAAGCTTTTGAAACCATTATGCATCTCTGTGTATCTGACCCAAACTGCACTCGCAAGACTACACCACGGATCTATTAAAATAACTAGATAAGGTGTTGTTGACGTAGTGACACTCACTGGTACTTCAGCGAAAAAAATCCCCTGGGCTGAGAAAGGAGTTTTCTCATAGAGGCAATGTAATCACAAACTGCTCGTGTTCAGCTGACAGGGCACCTACAACTTTCAAAAATGTCAGATTTTGTGGCAATTTTTACCTATTTTTATATCATAAACTTTTTCTCAGCTCAAAATCCTTCAGTTGTCTTAAAAAACTCTTTATAATCGTTTGCTACAGCTCCGCTCTGCTCCTCTCGCTCTGATTGGTCAAATTGATCACGTGATACAGTAGACAACGCAGGAGAAAAGAGCACTACTGCACATGCTCAATCAGACCAGAGACACCGGAAGTACCTCACCGGGCTAAAGGCGAATCTGGAGTCATGCCCCATTGAGCTCAACCCATTGACTTGAATGGGCGGATATTCTGAAACCCCGGGGCTTGGGCTACACCTGCAGGGGGAGTTCATAAAAAACAACTATTCATGCAGAGAAAAAGTACTAAGTGACAGTAGCTCAGTTGGTAGAGCGTTTCTCCACTGATCCAAAGGCTGGTGGTGTGATTCTGAAGCTCTGCCCCTCCACGTCCAAACATTCCCCACAATGGAGACTTTTAAGTTTCATCTTAAAACCCACTTTTATTCTCTGGCTTTTAACACCTTGTGAGTTGTGTGCTTCTCTGTGTCTTTTATTTATGTTTAATTTATTTTATTGGTTTTATTTATTTATTGCTAATGTACCATTTTGCTCTCATTTTATTTTACTGGTTTTATTGTTTTAAGACGAGTATGATTAAATCTGAGCGTTTATTTTATCATTATATTATTATTGTTGTTATTAGTATGTTTTTGTGCAGCACTTTGGAAACTGTTTGTGAAATGTGCTATATAAATAAAGTGGACTGGATTGGATTCTAGCTTCAACAGATGAATGCTGTCGCTGTGTCCTTGGGCAAGACACTTAACCCACCTCGCGTCATGTTTGTGTACACATAGTGTATGAATGTGTGTGAATGGGTGAGTGGTTTCTTGTTGTAAAGACCCTTGAAGGTGGAAAAGCTCTTTATAAAATGTGAAGAAAACAATGTATTTATACTGTATGAAGAATTGTAAAAGTTGAATCTGCTTTTTTTTTACATATACATACCAAAGAATACTAGAAAGAAACTTCTCTCTGCTGTTGTCCCATATAAATCCTTATTTTCTAAATAAAATTATTAGTCGATTAATACAGATTTTAGTTACTCGACTAAATGGTTAAAGAACAACAGCCCTAGTTACTGTTGCTTAATATGGCATTGGCAAACTATTTCAGGCCAGGCTTGTGCCCAGATTTTCCCACTATCTCCAGGGTGCAGAGACACATGGAACTGTCCTGACACTAGGGGTGTAACCAAAATTTCATGATATTGTATCGTCAAAAGTCTCTCAGTAATATCGTGGGCCATCACAATATATCGAATCATAAGTATCTTTGCTTAAACTCATTATTATGTTGCAGCAATAGCTAAAAAAACAGAGGGAACTACATAGACCATGATCCTTTGCTCTGTTTTGGTGCAGACTACATGAAGAAATAACAGTTCTAAGCACTTTTAAGTCTTACTTCTTTGAATTAAGTTTTGTGAAAGCATTTTAAGAGGAAAAAGTAGCATATGCACAATTTTGTCTGTTTGTCTCCACAAAATATCGCAATAAATATTAGGGATGTAACAATAACCAAAATATCGTGATACCGTATCGTTAAAAGTTCCCACAATAATAGCGTGGACCATCACAATATATTGAATTACAAGTCTCTTTGCTTAAATTTAGAGTTATGGTGCAGCAAGAGCTAAAAAAAAATAAAATAAAAAAAAAGACAGGGAACTACATAGACCATGATCCTTTGCTCCATTTCAGCGCAGACTACAAGAAATAACAGTTCTAAGCACTTTTAAGTCTTAGTTCTTTGGATTAAGTCTTGTCAAGGCATTGTAAGAGGAAAAAGAATCATATTAGCCTCCACAAAATATCGCAATTAATATCGTACCGCAAGATGTATATCATGAAAATATCGTACCGTGAGATGTTGTAGAGAAAGGGAGTAATTCTGTTCTTATGTCCCGAGGTCAACTCATCCTGGTCAACTCATCCTGGTATGCAGGACAATTATAACTTGTTACTTCAAACACTGGATAACTTGGCAGTACATGAAACTGATAATCACTGGAGATAGAAACCAGGGGCAACTTTTCCTGTTTCGAAAACACATTTCGCAGCGGGAAGGCTGACTCACTGAGAGACTGCGAGTGGGGATTGGCCCTCTCCGCACGCACATCTCTCGGTTGTATGGTATATAAGGCGGGGAAGTCTCTAGCCCGAGTAGAGTCTGCTGCGGGTTGCGTACGAACGCCCAGCGAGGTTGAAGCGCACTCTACCGGGGTTGTTGGCTCTCCAGCCCAGTGTCAGCGGTAAGAGCTTTTGATTATTATGCTTTAACCTATGATGCATTGATGTGTGGAAACAACTGAAGCGGGGAATAAAAAGACACATTTATTCTAGCTCTGTTGTCGTGTCATTTATTGTGTGATCAATCACTCTCCGCGAACCACCTCAGATTTTACAAAACAGATGTATATTGTGAAAATATCGTACCGAGAGATTTGGATATTGTTACATCTTTAATCGTGAGCCTCCACACCATATCATGATCTTTCCCACGATATCGCAATAAATATCGTACAGTGAGGTTCATACGGTGACGAAATCGTGTCGTGAGACTTGGATATCGTTACATCCCTAATAAATATCGCACCGTGGGATGTATATTGTGAAAATATCATACCGTGAGATTTGGATATCATTACATCCCTACACAAAGGTCACTACAGCAAAACTTCAATTTCCCTTTAGATCAGTAAAGTATCTCTCTCCTCTCTTATCTCACATACAGTCCGTGGGTGAACTACAGATGCCCCAACAAGATATTACATCTTTCTGAATAATGATAAACTTTAAATGTCACCTATAACAAGAAGCTGAAACCCACGAATCGTCCAATCACAAAACAAAATGGTGATTCTTAAAGACGTAACTCACCGATCCCTGGAGACACCACCCTCTCGTAGTGATACGGGTTCACACACACGTTGTCACACTTCAGGTCGAAGGCAAACTGACAGTATTTCACGTGTTTCAGCTCGTTTTTGTGCAGGTCGGGCCATCGCCACAGCCGCGCGTAGAATCACATGAGGGAAACCTTTACGACCCGCCACCTGAAATGAAACCACAGAAACAATAATAGTACAATACAGTAATAATCATCATAAGAAGGAACTGGTGGTTTTCAGATTCTGTGTAATTTGTAATGTTTTTCTTATTGATTACATTGAACTTTGTCATGAAATATCCAAAAGCTAAATTCAAAAATGTTGAACCTGATCATTTCTATTAGTGACTAGATCCAAGAACTTACTCTATCACAACAAAAATCAGAACTTTAACAGTATTAATTTTAGCTGATTCCTGTATTAAATAATATTGGCTTACATAAAAATGTGCAATAGGTCACTAATAGTAACAAGACAGAAAATATTCAGTGTTGGGAAGGTTACTTTTAAAATGTATTCCCCTACAGATTACAGATTACATACCTCAAAATGTAGTTTGTTATGGAATCCAATAAGTTACTTAAGGTGAGTAATGTAATCTACTTTGGATTACTTGATATTGTTATGCTTTTTAAAACTACATGAATGTAGCAACCACATCCTGAAAATTCTTGTTTGTTCTTTTTAAATTGGCTGTTGAGCCCAAGTCTCCATGAATAGGCTTTTGTTTGCTGTAGAGAAGCAAAGACTGGGACAACTGAACATGAGATGTTTTGTCTGCGTAAAGACAATAAAAAGCCCAGTCTTTTCTTAAGCGCATTAAAAACATTATTGATAGAGAAATGCTTTCTATATGAGATCACTGCTGCCTTTAATTATGTCCACCTACTGTTTGGTGTTATATTGTTTTTTTTTGGTTTTGTTTTTGTTTTGTTTTGGTTTTTTAAACTCCCTTTCAGTACTAACATAAAGGCGCCATCCCAGTAAAAATCTGTAATATTTGATGTTTTTTACTCAAAATGATATGGAATCAGATTATTAACAAACAGCGTGGTGCACAAGAGGAGACACGACCTGCGCAGCATGGTTGTTTAGTTTTGCTAAATCCTGTTTTAGACCTATTTTTAGACCTGGTTTAGTCCTGGGTTAGACCTGTTTTTAGACCTGTTTTTAGACCTGATTTACACCTGGGGTAGACCTGGTTTAGACCCGTTTAGTCTTGGTTTAGACCTGATTTAGTCCTCATTTAGACCTGGTTTTAGACCTGGGTTAGACCTGGTTTTAGTCCTGGTTTTAGTCCTGGTTTTAGTCCTGGTTTTAGTCCTGGTTTTAGTCCTGGTTTTAGTCCTGGTTTTAGTCCTAGTTTAGTCCTGGTTTAGTCCCGTTTTTAGACTTGGTTTAGTCCTGGTTTAGCCCTGGTGTTAGTTGTGGTTGTAGAGGCACACAGGAGGAAGCGCGGTCTACGCAGCGTACGTGAGAAAACACAGTCCACAAATGGCGTACGCAAGGCCGGCGGTGTCCGAACTGTAACCGAATACAGTTACTCATAATTTGTATTCCGATTACATAATGCCGGTAAATGTAATCCGTTATTCCCCAAACACTGAATATATTTCTGTATTTGGATTCTTGCATTAAGAATAATCAGATAATCAGAGTCTGCTTTGGAAATTCATCAGAAATACGCTAAAATGTCTGTAAATACTGTGGTTAAACTGCACTCAAAATCTGTTTATTATCACATTTTTGGAATAAGAAGAGAGATTAAGACAGACATGTAAACATTATAATCTGATTTCTTTCTAATGATGGGCCCTTTGATCAGTCACATGACATTTAAAAAAGGTCCATAATCAGATAATAATGAGACTTTGATGTGCATGGGACTGCAGCCACCGTCTTTGTAGAAGTTCAAGAATTGCACAAAAACTCAATGGACTGTAAAATTCCGTCAGCCGGCCCAAGAGCGGGTGCCAATCCGCCGACCACCATCAAACACTCGCACTCCACATTCTGACTCGGCTCCTAAGTGCTCCTGAGGACACCACAACAGTCACTACCACAACCACTTCTGCCCCACTACAGGACCTGGTATTCTGGTATGGACTTAAACTTAGCCCACACACTCGCTCGGATTACAATATGATGGTGTTGTCCACAGTACTAAATTCAAACTCTATCTCAACTTAAAAGAATATACTCGATGCCCAATATAATGGTTTGACGCCCAAATGATCATTTTAAAGGCTTTTATTTAGACAAGATCTTACACTATTTCAAATAATCTGATTTTTGATACTTTTGACAAACCTACAATCTGATAACAAAATAGCTGTATTTCTGAATAATTTAAGTAGCAAAAATAGCAAATGCTTATCTTACGAGATCAAATACGATGTGTGCATTTTAAAGATGACGTCCTATGGCATTTAAGCAAATTACTTTTTTTTTTTATATACTGAGGAGTTGTCGGTCAAGGGCGTAGGTTTGCACAGGGACGGTGGGGACATGTCGCAACCAATATTTGGGGAAGACAAAATAGTCTCTACCAATATTTGCCATTTTATTTTAATCAAAAATATAAACGTATTTTGATATTTTTTCCAAACTCAATAGTATTAATTTAACATGTTTTAGTTCACATTCTGTTTATTAGACGTTCTGAGATGTATTCAGTGATGTGACCCTGCGCTGTTTCATTGGCTGTAACAGAGTGATGTCATTAGTGGAGCCAGGAGCCTAAACTGGGGAAGCGGCAGGACAGGGCCGCACCTGAAGATGGCGACTTGAGCAGACGTGAGTGAAGACGCTGCACCAAACTCTGAAAAACTTTTCAAAAGGAACTTACTTGGCTTCATCTTCATTTAAACTTGTCTTATAATGAGTCGCCGCAGAAAAAGAGCGACTATCAGCACAAGTGCACCTCCCAAACAGAGCCCTACTCGTGCTCTGTGAACAGCCAGATTCTACTGACAATATTCATTCCATGGAAAAATATTTGGACATGACCTCACAAATATCTCATCATCAACAAGCAAAAGGGAAATCTGCTACAAACTTCTACATCTCTGTTCTCCACTAAAGAATCATCTTAGAAGGACAATGGACACAAACTGTACATTTTGTGAACTGAAAAATGAAACCACCTCTCACTTATTTTGGACCTGCCCAGACTCTGTGTGTTTTTGGAGAGAATTCATAAAACATATGGGGGTGGTTAGCTGATATGATGATGTCCCCACCAAAGCTGAGACCAAACCTACGCCCTTGTTGTTAGTTTAACTCTTTAATTCTTGACTTCGAACTTCAAATGAACTGTCTGAAATAAACTAAAGTCTAGTAAGTGTACAGTGAGTGTGTTGTATGTATAGTGAGTGTTCTGGTGTTATGTAATTTTGTGTGATTGTTGCTGTACTTTTCCTTGTCCCGTAGATGATTTCACATCAACCTGCCGAGGGACTGAAGATGGAAATTAGCCACGCTGGCTATAATCTTGTGTGTAGTGGGTGTGGTACGCGGGGGTAAACCGTACACCCACTTCTCCCGACGTCAGATATAAAAAAATAACAAATATAAAATAACTATGATATCATGATATCTGCAGTACTGTTCTATAGCGACATGAGGGACCAGGACTGAACCAGGACTGAACCAGGGCTGAACCAGGGCTGAACCAGGGCTGAACCAGGGCTGAACCAGGACTGAACCAGGACTGAACCAGGACTGAACCAGGACTGAACCAGGACTGAACCAGGACTGAACGCTGAACCAGGACTAAACCAGGTCTAAACCAGAAATGAACCATGAGTGAGTGTTAGGAGTGCGCCCGCGTAGACTGTCTGGTGACCGCAGGCAAAAGGACCGGCACAGAGCTCCACACCCCAAGGGGCAAAGAGCAGCCGTCGACCATTCAGCATTTGCGGACATTCTGCTCAGGGTTCTCTCTCTTGCTGTCAAGTCCAAATTGGTCCTGGTTTAGACCTGTCTTAGTCCTGTTTTAGTCCTGGCTTAATCCTGGTTTAGTCCTGGTTTAGTCCTGGCTTAGTCCTGGGTCAGTCCTGGGTCAGTCCTGGGTCAGACCTGGGTCAGACCTGGGTCAGACCTGGTTCAGACCTGGTTCATTTCTGTTTTAGTCCTGGTTTAGTCCCGGCTTAGTCCTGGTTCATGTGTCCTGGCCTATGATTTATGTTCTGTAGGTGATTATGAACGGCGCTAATGTTAATACAAGATTCCGCATCATTTTTACTAAAAAAAACCCCAAAACAAAACATTAAATATTACTGATTTTTACTGGGCTGGCATCTTTAAGTTTGTACTGAAAGTGCTATCCCCTTACAAATAAATAAATAAACAAATAAATAAATGAATAAATAAATAAATAAATAAATAACCTGCAGGCGTCCGTCTAGAGTCCTCTGAATGGTCACACATTTGCTGGGATGTGCTCCGTTGGTGGTTATCGCCGTGATCAGTGAATCCAGCTCGTCCTTCTTCTCCTTCAGCTTCTTCACCAGACTCTCTATGGCGCGTTTAGCAAAAGTCTCGCTCTCGCCGCCCTGTCTGTGGCACATGAGACTGTGCACGATGCTCAGGCACGCGTCATTGCTCGTGGGTGTGCCGGGAATGGACATCCTCTCTGCTCCTCTCTTCACCGCACCACAGTTAATACAGTTTTACTCAAGGGGAGAAACGTCAAAGATGCCCCAGCCTTCCATGCTCAGGTGAAACACGTCTTCACTTACTCACAGTTTCCATAACCTGCAACGAAAGAAGAAAATTAAGAAGAATTTTAGTGGAATCGCAAATTATTCATGAAAGGGCCCCTGTTGTGCTGCTTTCTGATCGGTTATAATGTTGGAGTTGTGTTTTGTTTCATTCACACACAAATCCATCATATTTTGGGTTTGGGTTTGATTAGTTCTTCTCTCAAACAGAATACACTCTGTTCCACCTCATTTGGATAATTTTTGCCCAAAACTTGCCCATATCTACTGAATTAAAGGTTAAAAAAAAAAAAAAAAAAAGCCAGCTGCTAACAATAAAAAGTTACTCAAACATGTGCGAATGAAACAAAACACAACTCCAGGTCTGTTTTTGAGCTTGTAACAACATTATAACATGACTTAAAACTTTTGTACTCAGCAACTTTTCTGGTGGAAGTAGGGATGCTCGATTATGGAAAAAATCATTATCATGGTTGTTTTGGTCAATATTGAAATCACGATTATTCAAATTATTATTTTTTGTTACACAATTCATTTATTCAGCATTTCTGTCTCACAAAAATAAAAAATAAAAAAAGACTTTGTTATTGATAATTTACGCAAAACTTTCAAATTGAAAATAAATATAGGCTACAAATATGAATCTTAGAGCAGTTTTGCAATGTATAAAATGAAAAAAATATACTTTGAACATGAAATGAGCCATAGAAAAACATAAATGTGTCCAAAATAAACTACATATCCAGCTGTTCTACAACCTCCATGTTTAAAAAGCAAAATAATTATACTTATTTATATAAAAAATATACCAAAATAAACTTTGTTAAACTAAATAATTTCATCTCAGTTATATGAGTTTGGAGATCGTTTGACAGAAAAACCAAAATCGTGATCAAAATTCAATTAATTGCACAGACTTAGGTGGAAGGTATGACACATTAAAAGTTGAACTATGCAATTCTTCTGGTTGCGGTTACACTACTGAATGTTATCACTTTGCCTGCGTTAGGGTTGCCAGGAATGTTCCACAGTATGGCATTAAAGTTATCTATAAAATATACTATTTACACATGTTTTTCTTGCTCAAAACACATTGAAAAAGGTGTATTCTTACTTGAGGGTGGACTTGTGACTAGGGATGGGCATGATTAATCAATTATCAATAATTCATCATTAAGAATTTCATCGATTACGTTAACTCACTTGGGCACTCAGAAGGAGCGAGCAGACACAAACAGTCAGTCAATCTGCAAAGTACCGAAGCACAAATGCGTATTTAACGATGACTTGTACAAGAAATTCCAGGCTTTCTGTTGCGTTCGGGACAAGTGTGAGTCCATGTGCACAGTGTATAAAGCAGCAGATATGTTTCAGTGTCCAGTGGGAAAAAAGTTTTGCCAGGTGAGAGTCGCTCAATGTCGATGACGAGTCCCTATGTCCCACCCCCCGTACGGTGCCCTGGTTTTGACAAACGCAAATATGGTCGCACTAACCTGTATTCACCTGAGTCATGTCTGTTAATCCGACAGAAATTGACCGCATCAGCGACACAAGAGCTGTAGTTTTATCTTCGCTTAGTTTATGCAAATTAGCGATGCGGTTTTAAGTTTCGTTTCTGTGAGAGTTGCGCAAAACTGAATTAAAGACATTATAATGTCAAACGGGCTGATGTGGCTCTAGAGTCGTTATGGTTTATATGTCGTAAAGTTGAATTTATTTATGCAGATTAGTAGTGCAGATAGTAATAATAATGATGATCATTTTAATATAAAAACGTTAATGATTAATCGATAATCGATCGTTAATTCTCCCGACGATCAATTAAGAAAATTTCATCAAATGCCCATCCCTACTTGTGACATTACCTGCTTGTCTAGAAAAGTTGAATGCCAGACTAGCAAAGCAATAATTCATTCATTCATTCATTATAGAGACAAGCAGATGTACTGTGAACCATCTGCCAGAAAAGTTACGCAATGTACCTTTTACCTACCCATCTTGTTTTAATTAAATACAGATGTTTTAAAACATTAAGATATCTCATAAATATTTTGACAATAAGGGGGCTCACTTCTCCACAGATCTGACCTCTAACTTGGCCTAATGTTGTAGCTTCCCAGTCTCCTTGGAAATGGTTAAATTAAATGCCATACCGTGGAACATTCCAGGAAAAACAATCACATCTCCTTGCAGACAAGAAGGTGACAGATGCTTCCAACTAGAAAAGTCACACAGTGCCCCTTAACTACTAAACTAAAATGCTGTTTTAGAGAAATATTTCAGCTACAGTGCAAGTAATTATATTTAAACGTAAGTATGCGTTTCAGAAGTGCTGCTGTATCAAAACACGCATTGCATTGTGGTAGTTATATTAGGGTGATCCAACGTCCTTATTTACCCGGGACAGTCCCAGTTTTGATCCCTGTGTCCCCTGTCCCAGCGGATTTATCCAAAACCACTGATTTGTCCCATTTTTATACAAGAAATGTCCCAGATGTCCCTATTTTTGACCAATTTGATCCCTGCCAACAGTAAAGTGAAGCATAAATAGAAAAATACAGTTTGTTTGATTATGAAAAATACAGAAAAGTTGCTTAAAAATGACCAAAACGCAAAGAAAATGTGACTATAGTGGCTCACATGTTAGTCATGAATGGGCCGAGAACAATTTTCCTTAATGATAAACTCGTTTCACAATTTTATTATTACCAAACACCACAAATCAGGGTTGTACCAGTTTTTTATGTTGAAAATCTAGTCACTCTATTCAAACCAAGTCTAAATCAAGTCTAAACCAGGACTAAACCAAGTCTAAACCAGGACTAAACCAGGTCTAAACCAAGTCTAAACCAGGACTAAACCAAGTCTAAACCAGGACTAAACCAGGTCTAAACCAAGTCTAAACCAGGACTAAACCAGGTCTAAACCAAGTCTAAACCAGGACTAAACCAAGTCTAAACCAGGTCTAAGCTAGGACTAAACCAGGTCTAAACCAGGACTAAACCAGGTCTAAACTAAGACTAAACAATGACTACATCAACTCTAAACCAGGTCTAAACCAGGTCTAAACTAAGACTAAACAAGGACTACATCAACTCTAAACCAGGTCAAAACCAGGACTAAACCAGGACTAAACCAGGTCTAAACTAAGACTAAACGAGGACTACATCAACTCTAAACCAGGTCAAAACCAGGACTAAACCAGGTCTAAACTAAAAATAAACGAGGACTACATCAATTCTAAACCAGGTCAAAACCAGGACTAAACCAGGTCAAAACCAGGACTAAACCAGGTCAAAACCAGGTCTAAACTAGGACTAAACAAGGACTACATCAACTCTAAACCAGGTCAAAACAGGATTTTGACAAATTTTGACTAATCTGATTCCTGCCAACACTAAAGAAGAGCATAAGTTGTCATTTGTTTTGCCAAAATACAGAAATCCATGTTTGTGAAAGACCCTAAAGGTGTAAAATTGTGAAAATCTGGTAACAGTGAGTTATATATTACATTATTGACAGTCGATCTCTCCTTCACATGCTTGAACCCCTGCCAAACTACACTTCTGTGATCTCTGTGCAGCTCAGTTTCACAGAATATGGACAGCAAAAGCACCCGATTGTTTTGGTGTTTTAAAGGAATATAAAAGTTGACCGTGTTGATGAAAACGTGAAAAGTTTTGGGCCCTGGCTAGCTCCCTGTGCTAATTAGCGGCGCCGCTCAGACTGGCTCCGGCGCGCGTGAAGGTGACGCAAAGGAGAAGACGTACAGCGGAAGTTGCTGTCAAAATAAAATAAAACATCTTATTTCACGAAGCAGCAAACGGTGTTAGAACATTAAATTATTATGTTCTATTACGTATTTATGTACAAAATGCGTATCTAATTACATTATTGCTATGGTTTTACGTTTTGTTCAGTTCTAACAGGCATAAATAATGACATTCATACCATACTCCATACAACTGTACACAACACATCCTTATGTAACAGATAATACTCCCTACAACTGTACAACAACTCACCCTTATTTAACAGCTAACTCTATGTCCTGTCAGTCATATCATTGTTGCACTTTTTTCCCATGATCACTTGTATATAGCTGAGATTTTATATTTTATAAATCAAAATCAAATGTATATAAATGGTAATTTGATTTGAATTATTACTTTTTAATTAAAAATTAATATTATTTTTATCATTACATTATATGATATTGTTAATTAAATTTAAATACATACATAAAAATGTTGTATTTTAATAGAAACTATAAATTCAATAAAATTATTAATACAGTTTGTTATTATTATTATTATTATATACTTATTTTTTTTTACTTGTACATTTACATTTATATAATTATAAATATATATTATATTTGACACTTGTCTCTTACCATCTTTTTTGCTACGTGTTTAGAATTTATTACTACCATTTATATATTTTTTACTCTTTGTTATTATATTATATTGTGATGCGTGAGTTAGTGTCCAAATAATTTCCCTTGTGGATCAATAAAGTTCAAATCTGTGAGGTTTTCTTATTTTATTTTGAAGGGCTGCACCGGAAAGTAGTGATAACAATTACTTTTAACTAGTTGTTCGTTTCCAAAACACCAGCCGAGCTAACGAGGATTGTTGACCGTAGAAAACTCTACTTTTTTCAGCTAATGTGATAGCAGCGGTGCCTTTGCTTTGCACGAACTGTTGTTGAAGTATAGTAAAGAAAACGCATGGTTATAGCGCTCAGAAACGCACGGTGAAATTCGCAAAGAAGCCGTGAAATTGGGAATAACTTCGCTGTGTAAATACTAAATAGTAGCACACTTTACCTGGAGCTTGTCCTGTGCTGCTGTCTCATTTCCAAGTTGTTACCGTAATGTCGGGACCATGGTTAGTGCGCAAAGGCAAGTCCACACGGGGCACTTATTCACAGCACTCTCGGGGTTATCGAATCTGAAATCAGCCTCCTGTCCCGTGAAGAGAGACTTCGTAAGATCACCTAAAAGTCCCAAGCACCGACCCACACTCCAACCACTCCACTCCCTTCACTTCAGCCCCACAGTGCGCCTGCGTAAACAGCTCAGCCTCGGAATGGCACAATCAACACGCACGCGCCTTTATTTTGTAGGAATTAAGACTTTTAGACAAACTTTATTGATTCACAAGGGAAATTATTTGGAGACAGAAGCTCACACATCACAATAAAATATTACAACAAAGAGTTAAAAAAATATATATAAATGGTAATAATAAATTCTGTTACTTAAGGTTTGAGTTGCTGTACACTTGTAGGGAGTATTATCTGTTACATTAGGGTGAGTTGTTGTGCAGTTGTAGGGAGTATTATCTGTCCCTCTGTAGCCTGATGCACTGGGTGAGTTGTTATACAGTTGTAGGGAGAATTATCTGTTACATAAGGGTGAGTTATTGTAGAGTTGTAGGGAGTATTATCTGTTACATAAAGGTGAGTCATTGTACAGTTGTAGGGAGTATTCGTTACGTAAAGGTGAGTTGTTATACTGTTGTAGGGAGTATTATCTGTTACATAAGGATGAGTTGTTGTACAGTTGTAGGGAGTATTATCTGTCCCTCTATAGTCTGGTGCAGTGGATGAGTTGTTGTACAGTTGTAGGGAGTGTTATCTGTTACATAAAGGTGAGTTGTACATCTGTAGGGAGTATTATCTGATAGATAAGGGTGAGTTATACAATTGTAGGGAGTATTATCTGTTACATAAGAGTGAGTTGTTGTACAATTGTAGGGAGTATTATCTGTTACATTAGGGTGAGTTGTGCAGTTGTAGGGAGTATTATATTGCATAAGGATGAGTTGATTTACAATCGTAGGGAGTATTATCTGTTACATTAGGGTGAGTTGTTGTACAGTTGTAGGGAGTATTATCTGTTCCTCACTGTGACAAATGTCTCCATCTCACAGGCGGATCAAAACTTTTACTTCTTCTAGCGTAAGATAATTTCAGATTTCACAAACATTTTTTTTTCTTTTTTTGTAACGTAAATAACAAAAGCAAATACTGCATGATGGAGCTTCCACTTTGATCCATAGAAATATGGATTTGAAGAGTTATTTAGGCTACTGTAAAACAATACGATATGTAACTATTATATCAGAGTTTTCAGTAAAGCATAAGAATGTGTCTGGAGTCTGAGTCAGTACATCTTTGTGACCAGCAGATGGCAGTAGTTTCAAGGAAATAAGTGAAATAGCTGTTGGTCTGTGACTGGTTGCAGGGATAGGATTAAGCATAGGTTTATATTCACTGTAAATAAAGGACGGTCACCACAAATTGTAGAAATAAAGTTAGAGTTTAGTCCGAACAATGACGGGGAACAGACAATTACTGCAATGACACCACAGATTAAACCTCAGATTATAAAGCAAAATGTGCCAATAAATATTTTACAACTTGACTGCCAGTACACTCACAAAGTCTTGATGTCTTTGCAAACAAGAAAAAAAGAAAAAATGTGAAAAAATTGGAAGTTCAAAACAAATAGTTTGAGAGACTCGTGTCTAAACGTCTGTGAAAGACAAAAGAGGTTCAGATGTTGGGCTGCAGCAGTTAATCAACTAATTGCGACTATAAAAAATTATCGTCGTCGTATTTTGACATAATCATCATCTGGACCAGGCCCGTCGACAGAAATTTGGGGGCTCGGGAAAAGAAAACTCACATGGGCCCCCCCCTGAATATTAATTAATAGGCAGAGGTTCCAATTCTGGGCCCCTAAGGCTACGTTCAGACTGCAGGGCTTAATGCTCAATTCATATTTTTGGACAAATCAGATTTTTTTGCGAGGTCGTTCACATTTCCATTTAAACACGACTTCTATGTGAACTCTAGTGTGAACGTTAAACGCCCCAAAAGTGTCCCACGTGTGCATTGGAGGACACGACGACATCACTCGCAGCGAATGTGCTCAGTGTTTATGAAAGTCGTCTAAACGCTGGGCTTGTCTCCTAAAATACGGTCCAGTTTTTTTATAAAATGGACAGGTTACACGTCCATGGCCGCTTTGTTTGTTTGGGTCTTTATCCTCCTTGTTTTTGTCTCGCAGGCTCTTTATTTTTCATTGACATTGGAGCCAGGACCCTCTGTAGCCACGCTCGGACATTTCTTTGGCAATCATTTCAAAAACCACACAGTTCCGATAAGACCCCTCCAATTTAGCCCGAATACAGCAATCTCCCAAATATTCTTGCAAACCTCGCTTTCCCTTCACTGACGAGACTCCGAGCCTGACGTGTAGGTGGGATGAATGCGACCTGACCATTCAGACTGAAGTCGCATGTCAAATGATCGGATATGTATCGGTTTTAGGAGCACATATCCAAGTGTCCTGAGTCGCATTCGAAAAAAAAATTGGATCTGTGTCATTAAAAGATCAGATACAGGTTGCACAGGGGCCAAAAAAATCAGATTTGGGTCACGTCATGCTGCAGTCTGAACGTAGCCTCTGATACGACGTGTCCTACAAGATCGTGACATCATCCACATTATAAAAAGTGTATTTCTTGGTGTCATATTTATTCAGATTGTTTTACCTCCTTACGGGAAATGATTCTGTTATAAGTGCTGTGTGCTGGATGTACAATACAGGGCTCACTCTGGAGAAAAGTGTGTTCTGGGCAATTAACCACTAGATGGAGCTACAGCGACCTCCTGTTGAAAGTAACGGATAGTTTGAGATTCAGTGGTTTTGTCTTCACACCTACAGCTACAAACGTATGCAGACATTTATACGAGTCACAACAGGGAATGCCAAATTAAGCACACACTGGCAGTAAGAAAAATAAGAAAAAAAAAACAAAAAAACCAAAAAGAGCTCCCCCAAATATATTTAAAAAAAAAACATGTCCTCAGACTCAAGAAGACTCAAACAAACAACGTCCGTTTTACAAAGAAGTGGACCATATTTTAGGAGACAAGCAACAACCTCGCAAAAAAAATCTAATTTCACATTTTTGGTCCGGGGGCCGTATCCAACCGACTTTGATCCCAAAGGGGCCGGATCAGAAAACTCATGTCATTTAAAACCCAAAAATAACAATAAGTTCAAATATTTGTGCAGAGAAACACAAATCTATTACAGAAATCTTTTTTAATTGATGAATTCTTTATTTTACAAAATATTATAATATTATGAACAAACTGAAACTTCAAGAAAAATACAATTTCAACACAATGTTTTAACATGAACTTGTTTAACATTAACTTGTATAAATAGGAATAAGTACATTTTTCTTGGAAAATCCTGCACTCGGCTCCACTTTTCTCATTTTGGACATTTTTCTGATGAGGGTGTCACGGTCAACAGTCAAAACGATCGTCCTTTAAGAGCGTTTGGAAAGAGACAAGTCTTCATTTGTGCTGCTCTGGTGGGAGGGGCCACGTACAGAGACACTGGAGATGCTGATATGATAAACACCACACAAAATTAACAATATTTTAATAAAAAATTGAATTTAAATATTTTAGTAGAAAATCAGCCGAGGGCCAGATTAAAGGTCTTGGAGGGCCGGATCTGGCCCCCGGGCCGTATGTTTGACACCTGTGCTTTAGACAAACTTTATTGATCCACAAGGGAAATTATTTGGACACAGTAGTTCACACATCACAATATAATAAAATAACAAAGAGGAAAAAATATAAATGACAATAATAAATTCTAAATAAGTAGCAAAAAAGAGCAAGAGACAAGTGTCAAAAAAGGTGTAATTACATGAATGCACAAGTCAAAATAAAATAGAAAAAGCCGCCATAGGAAGAGCGAAAATGATATGATGATTGACGGGACACAGGGTTATTTAGTTCAGTTACATAAGGGTGAATTGATGGGAAAATCTGCTGATATCGGCATCCAAATATCGGTAAAACGATATCCTGGTCTTTCTTGGACATATACACAACAGCTCCATAACATATTTGGATCAGTTTTGTCTTCTTTTCTTTTTTTTTCAGTCTTTGCGGCATTATGAGTCAATATCGAGCATCGCAGACACTTATCGAAATCGGTATCGAGACTGAAGAAGCTGTATCGGTGCATCCCCGGTGAGAAATGCTCAAGCAGAAGTGCTCGTCTGTGGTGTTGACACGCTGGTGCTGACAGAGCGACCGGCGGCTGCACGAGGCCCCGGGCTCAGATCAGACAGTTTAAAAGCCTCACACATCACAGAAGAAGAACCCAGATTAAACCTGAAACCTGCCCACTCCACGGGGACGAGGAAACATGGAACAACCCCCCCGGAAGAAACAAGGAGGAAGAAGAAGAGAGAAGGAAGAAGAGACAGGGAGGAAGAAGAGACAGGGAGGAAGAAGAGAGAGCAGGGAGGAAGAAGAAGAAAGAAGAGAGAGAGAGAGGAGAAGAAGAGACAGGAGGAAGAAGACAGAGGAGAAGAAGAGACAGGGAGAGAAGAGACAGGGAGGAAGAAGAGACAGAGGAAGAGACAGAGAGAGAAGAGACAGGAGGAAGAAGAGAGGAGGAAGAGAGAAGAGAGAGAGAGGAGAGAGAGAAGAAGAGACAGGGAAGAAGAGACAAGGGAGAGAAGAGAAGAGACAGAGAGGAAGAAGAGACACGGAGGAAGAAGAGACAAAGAGGAAGAAGAGAGAGGGAGGAAGAAGAGAGAGGAGGAAGAGAGACAGGGAGGAAGAAGAGACAGAGGAAGAAGAGAAGAGAGGAAGAAAGAGACAGGAGGAGAGAGACAGAGGAGAGAAGAAGAGAGAGGAAGAAGAGAAAGAGAGAGGAAGAGGAAGAAGAGGACAGGGAGGAAGAAGAGACAGAGAGGAAGAAGAGACAGGGAGGAAGAAGAGACAGAGAGGAGAAGAGAAGAGAGGAGAAGAGACAGGAGGAAGAAGAGACAGGAGGAAGAAGAGACAGAGGAGGAAGAAGAGACAGAGAGGAAGAAGAGACAGGGAGGAAGAAGAGACAGGGAGGAAGAAGAGACAGAGAGGAAGAAGAGACAGAGAGGAAGAAGAGACATGGAGGAGGAAGAGACACGGAGGAAGAAGAGACAGGGAGAAGAAGAAGAGAGA